CCAACTTTGTGAGGATCTGAGGGATGAACAGCAAAGACATTAATGTCAGCCATGTGTGAAGAAGTTGCTCGAGCATTTTCTGCAACAAGGGCCGAATGGAGTACAGTGGGGCCCTCTGAAACCGTTGCCGACACCCTGAGCCTCGCACATCTGGTGTTAATCAGCAAAGCTTACACAAACATACACATACAAAGAAACAGACACACACAGGCAAACACTTCTGCAAAGATCCCCTTCACAAAATCCTTCTCAACTCCTGAACTTCCGACATGACTGGGGTCAACACACTTGCCCTGGACCTATTAGTGCACACACCACGGCCATGTAATAAGAGCTGGCGAGCTGTTACAGTACAAGACGTTCTCTCTCTCTTTCTCTCTTTCTCTCTTTCTCTCTCTCTCTCTCTCTCTCACACACACACACACACACACACACACTACATCTTAGGCTCACTGCATACAGGCAACTACAGCACAAAAATACCGACACACAGTCGGAGTGACAATAGCACAGACTGTACACCATTCTAATTGTTAAAAAATTACAGCTTGAATATTTCCAGAGCCAGGTAACAGGATTAAATTCTGCCCAATGCTAAAAATGTGTTCACTCGACAATAAAGCCTCGCACAGTAAAACCAACACACTGCAGGTACAATAACAGGATTCATGGATTTAAGGAAAAAGTACACAAGAAGAAAACTCCAAATGATCATGAGTGCTGATAGTTGTGGTATAGCTGTTACAACTGTAAAGGTGCTTCTTTAGTGACATAAAATCCAATATGATGTTGCTTCTAAAGATAATAGAAAATAAGTAGCCCCTCGACAACAAGAAAAAGGAACGCACATCTTCCATCTTTTGCAATGCTGTTCTATATTATTATCAGTTCTGTATTTATTTTCCCACATTTTTCTGGTGTAAGTGTCCAAAAATAAGGCCAAACTATTGTTTTACTCTCTCAGAGGTGTATTTCTGGGGTACTGACACAGTTTCACAGGTATTTTTATCTATTCTGATTGGACCTCTGTTCAGGTAAAAGTGGCATGGATTTATATAATGCAATCAAACTTCTTGTACAAATAGGAATGACAAAGGCTTGTTTTTTTTTCTAACCAACAGTTGAGACAAAGCTAACAAGATCAGAGAGGTAGGAGTCAACTTTACACATATTGACATCTCATAGTTGGAAAAGCCTGGTATAAATGTTTACAATAATTATGTCTGAATTCCATTGAGCTCTTTTGGTTTAAGGCTGCTGGTATTGTCTATGCTGATGCTATGCTTCCAGCAATACTGCAGTGTAAATATCCTAATTCAAAACCCTACTCAAGTAAAAGTGCAAACCTGCTTACATCAAAATATACTTAAAGTTCCTAAAGTAAAAGTATTCATTATGTAGAATGGCCCATTTAAGAATTTGACATTATTTGATTTTCTATTTTATTTTAATATTCTAAATCTGCAAAATAAGTAGTTACAAAAGCTTCAAAATAAAAGTAATGCAGTACAAAGTAGAATCTTTACCGCCAGAATAAAGTAGAAGTAGAAAGTAGCATAACATTGAAATGGATGTACATCGAAATTCTGTGTCTGCACAGTACTTGAGTAAATGTACTTAGTTACATTCCACCGCTGTAAAATGTCAAGTGTTAAGCCAGTCTGCCAAAACACGGTGCAGATTGATGTCCAATCAACGAGTCAAGTTAAAACACTTCTGTGAGTAAACTACAAGTGTTTACTACCACATCAGCAGATTTGTTGGTTGCTCTTAAAACTACAATTCCCACAGACCTCCTTGTCATGTCTTCAGTAAAAAAAATTACATATAAATTACATTTTTGAGGCACATCAACTGGTTACGTGAAACAGTACACGTTCATGCAGGCTGAGGAGAACCACGCCTATCAAAATCAGGAAGAACTAAATATCTACAAATTGGTGAGACATGTAGTGATGTAGTTTATCTGTGTGCACAATCCGGTAAAACTTGATGCTTGATAATCTGTTAATAATACCATTTTTACACAATATAACTTCAGTCTAAAATCAATCAAATACAAGCCTGAAATCGTGATATCACATGAACATGATCCCATTTGCCATGCCTCAGTCAAAAAAATCATGAATACTGACACAACTGAAATCTCTATACAGAAGTCCTGCATTACACTGTACTGCATATAAAGTATTCTGAACAGTGTTTTTACCTCCTGAGCCCTTATAAAATGGCATACCTCTGTCTTCAGGTCATGAATCTGTTCTGGGTCATGCCCCTGTGTCTGGTCTTCTGTCTCCAGGTGAGCAGCAGGTTGTTCAGAAAGCAGCTGGCTACCTGTCAACAAGCAGGTTTATTCACCTGTGAGGATGTTTATACAGGAAACACGTTAAACGAAGCCAATAAAATGTTCCCACAAACTAAGACTAACTCCTTCATTGTGTTTACTTTAGTTGAATAATTTGACTCAAGTTGTAAATTAGACGTTTTAAACGCTAGCTAGCCTGTGTTAAGCTAGCTTTGTCTGAATTAGTTAGAAGAACGATAGTTAGCTAGTTAGACGTTAAGTTTGGGACGGTTTTCCCATGATCACCAGGTGTGCTGATGTTTATTGGAGGTAAGGAGGTTTACCTTAAGTTCACACGGGACAGTTTCCATTCTGGGGGCGCTTCAGGTGGTAAAAGGTGAAAATAGTTGGAGGTGAACCTAAGTTACTGGCGGTAAATGCATTGATCTTCTTTCCTTCTAATTGAGGTGCACAGTGTCGGGAGTAGCTTACTGCTGCCCCCTGTGGCCAAAACAGGCATGAACAGGTTTACTGCTGACCTCTTAGAAATTAACCAGGAGGTAGTGTTATACATCCATCCATTATCTATACACCGCTTACTCCTCATTAGGGTCGTGGGGGGGCTGGAGCCTATCCCAGCTGACTTAGGGTGAAGGCAGGGGACACCCTGGACAGGTCACCAGTCTATCACAGGGCTACACTTAGAGACAGACATTGTACATAGATATGTTTCACAATCGCTACTGCAAACCAGCATTCACACCTATGGACAATTTCAAGCAGAACACACAAACATCTCACCAGTGGAACTGTTTCGTTTTTCAAATTACAAGTATATGATATGAAGGATTTGGTGGATTCCTCACATAACAAATCATGCTAATTCACGAAAGCTGCGCATAAAGATATGTTCCCTGACCGGGAATCGAACCCGGGCCGCGGCGGTGAGAGCGCCGAATCCTAACCACTAGACCACCAGGGAGCCGTGAGTGACATATTGTATGTGTGTGTGTGTGCTTAGGTGCGTGCGTCCGTGCGCGCGTCCGTGCGTGTGGGAGCTATGATGCTACATGGCTGGAGTTGAGTTCAATTTTATTGTCCTTATGCTTAAATTAGTCCCAAAGACTACAATGATTACACGGCAGGAGTGTCTGCTTATAATCTTAATGCATCTGACTGCGGATCAGAAGACTGACTCCTCTCTGGTTCATGTTTTGTTCTCTTACTCACTGTTTATAGACATAAAATGAAGCACGAAAATGAAATAATGATTCTCACTGTTATGTAAAATCAAGGAGGAAAATAAAAAGAATATGTTGGTTTTCAGTAAGGATTGTTTAACATTTCTACGTATAGTGGTTATTTTCCAATGCAGGGAAGACTGAGGAAAAAAATTACACAAAGAATTGGTTAGTGTTTCAAAAAAATATATTTCATTTTATATATTGAAGTATGTAAGGTATTTATTTTTACTGCTGTGTAATCATTGTAGTCTTTGGGACTAATTTAAGCATCAGGACAATAAAATTGAACTCAACTCCAGCCATGTAGCATCATAGCTCACACACGCACGGACGCACGCAGCTACGCACATACATACAACACGTTTCTCACGGCTCCCTGGTGGTCTAGTGGTTAGGATTCGGCGCTCTCACCGCCGCGGCCCGGGTTCGATTCCCGGTCAGGGAACATGTCTTTATGCGCAGCTTTCGTGAATTAGCATGATTTGTTATGTGAGGAATCCACCAAATGCTTCATATCATATACTTGTAATTTGAAAAACGAAACAGTTCCACTGGTGAGATGTTTGTGTGTCCTGCTTGAAATATGAAACACACATTGCCACTAGTTGTAGCTGATGGAGTGTGAGCTAATCAGTTCAGCAGAATGTCAGCATGGATAAAACTACTGTGCTCGCATTTAAGCAAAATATACTGCAGCACTACCGCAGAAGAAAATAAGACATGGAGAGCTCCAGCAGTTTTGCAAAGAAGAAGAAGCAAAATTGCAATGTCCAGATGTGAAAGGCTGATTGAATACTATCCAAGCAAGCCCACTGCTGTAATTGTGCCCAAAGGTGCGTCTACTAAACACTAACTTGAAGGAGGTGAATACTTGTGTAGCCACTTATTTTGTGTTTTATGTTTTTAATCAGATGACACTACTTGTATGGATCTGTTTTCACTTTGACATGAAAGAGTCCATCCATCCATCATCTGTACATCACTTAATCCTCACTGGGGTCATGGGGGGGCTGGAGCCTATCCCAGCTGACTTAGGGTGAATGCAGGGGACACCCTGGTGAAGTCGCCAGTCTATCACAGGGCTACACTTAGAGACAGACAACCAAGCACACTCATATTCACACGTACAGACCAATTAACCTCAACATGTTTTTTGACTGTGGAGGGAAGCTGGAGAACATGAAAGAATCTCTTTTGAATATTTTTGTCAAAAAATGTTTTTAAAAAATCTATTGACCATGATTCATTGAAAAGCAACCAAAGGGGAAAAGCTTCCACAGGGGTTGAATACTTTTTACAGGCACTGTATGAATAGTCAAAATCAAAACAAAAATGCAGTCATATGCACAAGGATGACCCAAAAGTCATCAGAGGCTGTGTTGACTTTGAGAATCACATACAGTCCTGTGTCACATTGCTGTTAGACGCTCATCATTAAGGATATATGAAGTAAAAAAATATAAATAAGACAGTTTGCATTTTTTATTTTTTTTTATTTTTTTTTAGGTGTTTACTGTTTTTTTTTTTTTTGGCTCTGGCAAAAAGTGCAGTTATTGAGAAACAGTTAATGAACAAATTCATTATGTCATAATGTTTGTTATGTAGTTGAAGGTGCAAAGCAGTTAGAATTTTACTTTACCAGCTCTGAAGTATATCAAACACAAGCCCAGCTTTACTTTACAACAATAAAAAACACTTGGATGTAATTATTTACATTTCACACCTGATCGTTTGTTATGTTATGTTGTGATATTCTACAATGAACCATTGTCTAAAAATAATTTGGGGGCAGGTCAGTGATTTGTCACAGCAAACACCACCCTAAATCTTACATGAGCTGCTGCGTCATGATATTCAAACTGAGTTTTCATCCAAAGTTTAAATGGATTGTACTCAATGTGCTCGCTTTAATGATACACATCCAGCGTAGTTCCTGTGCTGCCAGGAGGCAAGTATTTTTATACAACAAAATATTTATTTAATTTCAACAATGCGTGGAGAAGTTAATATGGTGTGTGAAGCATAGCCGCTTGACACAAAGCAAATCTTGAACAATCTCTTCACTGAGTCTTTCCAGACTCTGTAGTTTTCACACCACACACATTCCCATTGTCATTTTTTTTTTTTTTTTGCCCACATCCCAGACTTATCGTACCAAGATTTTTCCACATAGAGGACATCTTGGCACCCCCAGAGAGGTTTTAGCTCGACTCAAAGGTAAATCATAAGTGCCAAAATTATAAAGTTAATTGGGGTTTCATTTTCCCAAGCGTAACAGACATTTTTGTCCATCAAATGGTCAAAAATAAAGTCAGAGTGCACATATTGCCATCAAATAAGGTAACACAGGCTCATTGCTTGTGCGGCGCATCAGCCCATCATGCTTGCTATCCTTTCAAGACCTGTTCTGTGCAATAAAAAATCCTGGATATTTATAAATGAGTACTTGTAAATAATGTTTAGCAGGAACGGTCCAGCTACGACATTTAAACTGAAGTGATAAAGATGCTGCTCTGTACCGTGTCTGCTATTTTCAGATAAACTTCACATCTATCCAAAAACAACTTAAACATGGCAGTCGCTCGGAATAATAAAGTGATATAATGTATTTGCCATAATACAAAAGCCTCCCGGTTGCTTTCATTTTCTGCATGCGTGCAATTTCTGAATGAAGTCACACTCTTTATCTCTCGCCACACATCACTGCCACCAGGCCGATGCACCCTGCACCCTCTGCCACTGAGTTTAGGAGTTTTTAACACTCAAACAGTCTTAAAAAGGTCTGACACAATGTAGTCCGATGCTGTCCCGTCGATGAGGCCCGCTCCATCATTGCCAACAAACCAGCAGGGGATGTTTTCTCCGTTCTTCACATCCTTGCTGAAGTCCTTTTGCCAGTGTCTGTGGAAAAGAAGAAAAAAGAAAAGCATGAGATGTGCATATGTTAAAAGAGATGCTCTTTCCTCTTGCATGCATTTCAGGTTTAATCCCTACGCGTACCTGGTCACGTTGAGTCTTTGTCCTTTTACGTACATGGTTGCGTCTAAATTCTCCTGGACTTCACCCTGACGAAAGTCTCCCATCTCAAATGAAACCCCGTTGTAGAACTGACCTAAAGAAAAATAGACCACTTTATATCTTTGGTTTTGTTCAAAAGAGGAACTATTAAACATAAAACACAATCAGTGCATCATGATATGAAGCCGTCTTGCAGATCTCTACCTAGCAGACCGTGAACTGAAGCAGATAAGTGGTGGCTGTCCAAGGTGTAGAAACCCAGGTAGTCTTGTTGCTCGTGGCGTCTCTTCCAAACCTTTGTGTGTCTGATGACCATAAATTTAACTGAGTGCCTCAGCGTCACGGTTAGGGTGCAATTTTGAGCCAACCTGAGGTCCATACTAGAGGAGAGAGAGACAAAACAGGTGGGGCTTATGGCAGACGGCAAGACAACAAAGTTGGCGACTGTTGACGACTGTGTCAATGTATAACACAATTTAAAACGCACATTCAACATGATATGGTCAAACATGCCCCTTAAAATGAGTTTATAATGCCATGTAATGCTGTCTCGTGCCTTTAGATAATATTTGTAAAGCAGTGTTACTCACTCGGTTTCTTTGAGAGAGGTTGCATCAGACCACAGCAGCTTGAAATGCTTGCCATTGTGGAACACTGAGATGTCCTGAGTGCTCACCTCCAGCCTGACCCCCAGCTTCTGATGGCCGATACCAAACCGTCCAAAGTAGGTGTTGCTTTTGCCATCTGGAGCAAATTTCTTCTTACCAATAATTTGGCCATTCACCACGAAGCCTGAAAAAAATGAGAATGATGATGTTCAAAGCTGAAGAGGCCTCTTGGATGAGATGTCCAGTTGCTTTTTTACTGAATTTCAGGATTACCACGACCAGGATAACTGAGAATCTACACAGAATGATGATTTGTTTTTGTCACTTGTCATATATCTCAGACATAAGAAAATAAAAAAATTCTCCTGAGCTGACCTGATTTTGTGTCTTTGACCAGATTGAAGATGGTTCCTGGTTTGTCGTTGATGTTGAAGCACAGAGCGTCGTCTCTGTCTGGGAGCTCTATCATGAAATGAGGATCTCCATCCACTGCGCAAACATCATTGAAGCATCATGTCAGGCAAAAAGCAAATGTAATAGCGAAGCTCAACAGATGAGTCAAATATAATCTGTAGGAACAGCAATACAGTCATACATTTTGATATATGATTTTGCCTCTGTGCACCACCGCGATGGACTGCAATCAAGATGGGATATAAGTGTAGATTTTCCGCTTTAATTCAAGTGTTTTTAACAAAAATACTGCATCAGGTGAAGAAAACCATCACTGTAACATTTTGTAAAAACAAGAATACACCTGAGAAGTTTGATGCAGCATTGTCAACATCTAAAATCAAGAGACGCCTGAAAGAATGTAGACGCAGAGGGTTTAACTAGTGGTAACACTCAAGAACAGGCCAGAGCAGAGTTTGCCTAAACACTTCTAAAAAGCCTGCCAAGTTCTGGAATAAGATTCTTTCGATAGATAAAATCAAGACGAGCTTGCATCAGAATGATGGGGGGAAACAAGTATAGAGCAGGAAAGAGCTTATAATCCACAGCACACCACTTCATCTATCAAACACGGTGGAGGCAGTGTTATGGCATCAGCATGTGTGGCTGCCAATGGAACAGGACACATGGCGTTTATTAATGATGTGATTGCAGAGGAGATGCAGTGGGGTGAATTCTGATGTGTACTAAGGTGTATTTTCTGCTCAAATTTAGTCAAAAGCTGCAAAACAGATTCAACAGATTCAAAAAATGGGTGTAATTCGTGAACAGTTAAAGCATTTTTCTAATGAAATTCCTCGAATTAAAGTTGAAAGTCTGCATTTCAATCACATCTCCATTGTTTCATTTCAAATTCATAGTGGTGGTGTACACAGGGGAAACATCAAAGAAAAGGTATCACTCTCCATATACTTATGGATCTGACTGAATGAGATCAGTGCAGCAGTGTCAAGCCTGGTCTTATGTCTTAAGAATCTGAAAATGAATCCAATAAAAACTGCTGTGATAGAAAATGAACAAAACTGACTAAAGCTGAATAATAATCAAAGTGCCCTAAAAACACTGAATAGAATATTTAAGGAAGTTGTGCCGCATGTTTTTATAGAAAGACGAGCCATCAGCTTCATTTGGTATCCTAAGTTTGTGGCTTGCTGATGGTCAGCGTTGGACCCAACAAACCTGTAGAACCATTATTATTATTATTATTATTGTTGTTGTTGTTGTTGTTGTTGTTCTTATTATTATTATTATTATTATTATTATTATTATTATTAGCATTATTATTATTAGTATTATTGTTACAATAAAGAAAGAGGAGAAACTGGCTGCTGATTAATAAACCATGACTGGTCATGTTTTCCCAACCTTCACTCAATATTAATGTAAACATAAATCTTACCATCTGACATAACCGGGGGCCTGCTAGCGGGGTGACTGGCAGCAGCGACTGAGGACTGAGGAATGCTCTTACCCTTTTTTCTCTCTGCTGCTTGCCGCTGCGCTATAAAGTAGAGAAACAGTTGTAAACATAAAGTTAGTTTGATGTTGCCGCAACAGAACATTGTGCTGTATATTTGTATAAATAGACAAACCACCAGGTGCGTACAGGTGCATATTAAGGCTGCTCGTTTTACAAGTCTGTGTGGAATTCAGACAGACTTTGCTATAATCCTTTTATTGTGCTTACAAAAAATAAATAAAATAAACACAAGAAACTGGCTGCTAACTAATTAAACGACCTATTGCATTTTCCCTACCCTCAGTCAGTTTATCCGCGACAAAAGAGCTGTCTGCTCCGTCCTCAGTTTCAGGCTTGGTGACCACCATGGAGGTAAGAGGGGTGACAAAGTTGTACCGCAGTGACATGTCCAGGGCCTTGGCTGTAATATTGTCTTTCTCCTGTTGAGTACCGATGTCACTGAGGAGAAAAAGAGAACAGGGCTTATTGTTTCATAAAGACATGACTAACCAGTGGGTCCTCAGTAGAGGGATATAGTTGCCCCCGCTGGCCATGATTGCATGGAGCCCCAGTAAACCATTATACTTCTTCCAGCTTACCAGCAAGCTTGTCCAAGGTGACATGGGTACTATCCATGCCTACATGTTATTTAAAATATAATGGCAATATCAACATTTTTTGTCCTGGAGTTTGACCTTGAAATATCACCTAAGGTCAAATGTTACATCCCCAGTGGGAGGCCTGTATATGGTTTCTGATACAAACAATGTGTCTATTTTTTTTTTCAAGTTGAAGTGCAGTCAAAATTTATGATTGTAAAGTTGACCTTCAAATATTGTCTAAGGTCAGATGTAGCATCACCACCAGGAAGTCCCAACATGGTTGCCTATCTGCACCAAATACCATAAATCTTCCTTCCGCCCTTTTGATGGAACACAACTTTTTTGGAGCTATTTTTGCATTGATTGTCCCCAAAACTGAACCATTCCAAGGAGAGGCCATTCCTAGCTCACCTGTAAAACATTAGCTTGTTAGACCTTAACACTCAAGGCAGAGACTGTTTACAGACAGACATGCAGATGGGACCCATGACTCAGTGGCAACTATAAAAAAATTCTGCATCATAAAATGATCTGTGCAGCGTCTCTGGGTAATGTGCCACATCTCAGATTTACAGATGAACTAACCTGGTCTCCAGAAGCTGTTGGATGGTGAGGTACGCCCACAGACGCTCAGTGAAGTTCCCAAAGATGTATTCCTTTTCTGGGTACATTGTTTGCCAGTTTGCCACACTGGCCTTTCCCTGCACCTGGAAGTCCTCTTCAGGCTGCAGATTAAACGGCAGATATTACTGACAAGAGAAAGGAAGGAGGAAATTAGCAGTATGATTTGATAACAGCCTGCAGCCATACTAACAGCTCTTGATGAAGACTGTAGTATGAACTGTATTCCACAGACCCCAAATAGTTGTTGTAATTTTAAAGTCTGGTCAAAAGTGGTGAGAAATATTTACCACAGAAATCGAATCTCTACTGAGGCCCTGAGAAAGTCTGGGAAGTATTTCTCACAGCTAGAGCCAATATACTGTACCTACAGAACAAATTGTTGAAACTCTGCTCAACATACAAAGGTAAGCTCTCCTGCTGACTTACAAATGTGAATAAACAGAACCTAAAGGATCAATAATTAGTTTAATGCCATCTTATCCATCCATTGTCTATACACCGCTTAATCCTCATTAGGGTCACGGGGGGGCTGGAGCCTATCCCAGCTGACTGAGGGCGAAGGCAGGGGACACCCTGGACAGGTCACCAGTCTATCGCAGGGCCACACTTAGAGACAGACAACCAAGCACACTCAATTTCTAATGCTATCTTATGAGTTTTGAAAATGAATGAATTTACTGTTCAGCTATAGGAATAATTTATACAGGTGAACTTGCTTTTATTTTCTAACTTAAAGAGCTGGTTGTTCATTTGGCATGAAGAACTTACAGCTGCTAAGAAAGTTAAGTACACAGGGCAAAATTCAGTACTAATCTTCAAACCTTTAATTAAGCAAGCTCTCATCACCAGCCCGTTTCTTCAAACTTTAAAAAAATCTTGGAAAAGCTTAACCTCTCAAACAATGCAGGCTGGGAAATCTAATATTATGTTTATCTTGTTTCCTTAAAACCTTCATTTATTAAGTTGAATTTATTAAGTGAACTTTTCGCATGAAATTCATTTAAATAATAATTTGCTGCCAGAATAGTTTACGTTAGATCAACTCACATTTATAAGAAAAAACTGAACCTGATCGCCTGTCATGTTATGTTGACAAACTGGGAACTTAAAATGTGAAATACTGACATTAAGTTAATTAGAGAAGATTACTGATTTAACTAAATCCCTCTTGGATTTCTGGACCACCACATTTTACTTAAGTTTTAAGCTCCTGAGAGTCAATATTTGGTAAAAGGGCCTGTCTCAGTAGCACATAGTTGCCTTTTTAGCCAACATGACAGATCTTATTCATGTTAAAAGTGACATTTTGCTTGTTGTCCATTTCTCACCCCCTGGGCAAAAACCTCCACCAAAAAGTTATCCACGTTGTTATCACTCAGTCGACCGGCCACCACGATCTCTGAGCCATTGAACAACTGGCTGTGGTAGTTTTTGGTCAAAAAATCCACTGTATTGTCAGGATAACGCAGTTTCACCTCCAAGAGCAGAGGACTGGACACTTCCTCATAGAAACCCTGGAACAAAGACACACCCAAAGTCATGAAATATCTGTTTCCCAAGGTGTAAATCCCCAAACATCTCTTTGCAGTAGCTCAGTAGATTTTTTTTTTCTCTTCCCCTACCTTGAGTTGAACAACTGCATCAGACGCCGCAAAGATTCTACGAGCCAGTCCTTTGTTTTGTTTGCTCATCACATCCAGAAAGGTGTAGTCCACATCATTTCCAAATCCAAGACAGAACAGAGACATATTTCCCCCAATAGCTGTGTGCACATTACTCTGGATTTTCGAGGTATTGGACTCCCCTACAGGTGGAGGCAAACATGTATTATATGGATGCATGCCATTAGCATCTTGCAAAAGAGCTGATTAACATACTACCAACCCTTTGAAAACAGTGCATCCAAGTAAAATCAAAACACTGCATTTACAAACGCTGTCTTATTCCTGGACAACATTTCAGGACTAAAAAGTCCTTGCAATTCTTTTGACATTGTTTGAGACAACTTTTATTCAAATTTTTCAAGACAGCTCACCTATGTTTGGCATCCCATCAGTCAGTAAAATAATCATGTCTGCACTCCTCTCTGGAACTTTGTTCTTTTCTCTTTCGCTCTTCAGCATTGTCACTGCCCTCAGTACTGCAGCGTTGATGTTGGTGCCTGAAAAACAACAACACAATAAGAAAATTAACCTGAAAGTGTAACATGACGGTATCATACTGAAAATGAAGTTGCAGGTTCTCCATATGCTTGGATTGAATAATCTCAATTTTGTCTATAAAACACAGTATATAAAGAGTATTTATCACAAAAGACTGGATGTAGCTAACCTGGCTAACCTAATCTTCTCTTTGGGCCCAAAACTTTGGGTTTTACTCTTTTTATTCATTATTCCGGATTCATGTAGTAAATGCATTCTTTAACTTTTCTTCTTCTATTAAACACAGAATAGAGAGAAGCTAAAGCTTTTTTAAATTGTACATTTGCAAACATTTGATAGATTTTTAAAGGCATTGCTTGGCTTTTGAAAGCAATGTATAGTATGTTTAGATATAACACAGTACATTAAAAAAACAAAAAACAATGAGCACATATTTCAAAATGTACATATCTAAACAGGATTTCTCATCATCCAAACAAAGGAAATGAAAATATTTTTCTCTCACCTCCCCTTTCTCGCAGTCTGCTGACATAACGGATGGCTTCAGAAACATTTTGCTCTGTTGCTTTTCTAAGAAAGTCTTTCCAGGTGACAGAATCAGTATCAAACGGGATGATAGCAAAGTGGTCCTCTTCATGCAGATCTTTTAGAATGGCAACCATGGCATCCCGGGTCTGCAAAGGTTTGCAGTTTCACATGTATGATGTGCATACATCGATGCATACAGTATATAACTTACATACACTCAAAGTCTTTTACCTGTTCAATCTTTGTTCCACTCATTGATCCGCTCCTGTCAATTACAAACACCACATTCTTTGGGACTCTGGCCAAGTCCGGAGGGGAGAAGAAGTGCACAAAGTATCCGTTCACAACCTGAAAGGCAATAAGGCATCTGATTAAGAATAATATAGAAATATTAAAAGGTGTGCAGCAAGACCAAACAGCTGCTTTTCAGTTTAAAGTTGATTAAACAAAGCTATTTCCAAGAGCCGTTGTTAACTGACCTGAACTTCCCCCAGGCTCTGCTCTCGTTTCACGTCGTACTTGATGATGAAATCCCCATTAATTATTGTGCCTTCACACCCTGCACACTTCTGCTGCTCCACTGTTGGTGAGAAAGAGATGTATGCCTGAAGAGATAGAGAGAATTATTACTGGGCAAGTGCTTTATGCTCAAGTATTAAAGCTCATAAACTGAAGGACAGCAGTTTGTTTGAGCCTTCACCTTTGTGTCTGTGACGGTTTTCTTTAGCACCGGGAGCAGCTCATTGGTGAGGAAAGTTGCAGTAGCGTCAGCAAACGTGATGCCCTGTGGCTCATAGATGTCTGCCAGGATCTGTCTCCACAAACACAAATTCACACATAGATCAGGAGTGGAATGACTGTGATGTAAAGCCTCTAAATGTTTGCAGAAATTCTTTACATAAGAAAAGCAAATGCGGAGAGTGTGTCCAACCTCAAAATCTTGCACCGGCTGTTCAATTTTAACTCGGGTCAAAATCTCATATTGGCCCAGTTTCCGCTGAAGGAGCTCCTCATAGGTCAAAATGAAAGTCACGCTGCTACTGGCAGCAACGTTGACGGACACTGAAAACGTCTCCATCTTTCTTCCAGAAGCCCTGTAATAGCAACAACGGAAATGAACGACTTTAATGGGATGTTCACACCACCACACATTCAATATCTGTGAGCTTCTTCAGTCCAACATACTTGACCAGTCCCGCCGTCTGTCCAGAGGAAACAGCCTTCTCATACTGTTTCTTAGCTTTCTCTTTCTCCTTCACCTCTCCAACATACACCTTACCATCAATTTCCCTGTGAGACACAAGGACATTTTGTCAGACTTTGAAGAAGACACGTTTTATGCTCGCTGGCAAAAAGAGTTTAGACTGACATGCTGAAGTTGGTGATGAAGGCAGTCTTGGGCAGCTCCACGTTGAAGAAGACTTCCTGGGAGGAGTTTGCTTTGTTTAGAGCCCTGGAGGTCATGACGGTGTGGGCGAACCGAGACGCCACCGTGCAGGCGACTCTAACACTGTACAGCTCCACCTTTATGACAGAATGCACAGAGAGCAGTATTTGGTATGCTTTGGAAATAGATGTTTTATAAATGTCAGAAATCCTAACCGCACAAATTCCAAAATATCATGCCGTTTTACAGCAAACAAGACCAGTGGTCGACAGGACGGGCAGCTTGTAGTCGTCTCTCTTCCCTGAAGTTTTGGCTCAGATGTCATGAGAAAATGATTTGTATCACAAAACAAAAAGGAGTCCACTGTTCTGTGAACACAATGTAAGGAGAAGCTTTTAGAGTTTCTCATGCTGGCAAATGCAGAATGGAATGAAACACAGATGTACAAATCACTTCCAGCTTGTTTATTTTCTCCAGTAAACCAAAGAGAAAATAAATAGTGGATATCAGGAAGAGAAGACTGGAACAAGTGGCATCTGGAAGCAATGAGGTTTACGGTAAGTGTGGACTTCATTTTGCAGTCGCTAACAGTACCACTACTGTAAGATAGAAGCTACCAGTTCCCTTGACCATGATCTCATTTGTTTCGGATTGTAATATTCAGGTCTCAAGGTTAACATGACAGTTTTTGATGATGTTATATAAAATGCATTTCTTACATTTGCAGAGTTTGTACTTCTTTTCTGTCAAAGAAAACATATTTTCACATTCAGTATCGGGATGGTTTTAGCAGGATGAGAACATAAATGAATGACATGAATCTGCAATTTGTTGTTTCTATTATTTTTTTTTGATTTAGTATTGTAAACTGAGTACCTTTATTGACCTGGTGCTTGTTGCTTCTTTGGTCTCCTGGAACAAAACACAGAATTACTGCAAGGTTATTGAGAAAGAATCGAAAAGAGAAGGGGACAAGATGTATGACTATTGGCCATCATTTAGCTTGAGAGTTCCCTCGATCATTTACCAGTAACGACACACTGGTTTGAAATCTTTAGAACAGGTTTATAGAAACAGCCCATCAGCAATCCCTGTCATAATCACAATTTAAGCTGCCCACGCTACATTTATAAGATATTCATTAGAGCAGGTTTTTCCAGAATATTAGGCAAACTGTACAGTCCCATGTGTGGGAACCAAGGATCAGACAAAAGAGTGAAAACAGGCAACAACATGCAGGACAGGAATGCTAGTAAACATCATAGCCAATCCCCCAGTCATGGAGCTATGGCTCAGGCTCTGACTGTATATAATGGAGAGGCAGGTGGCTGGACGGAGATGAGCAGAGGTGGAAACATTCAGTGAGGGCGACATGAAGCAAGGACAGATCACAGAACACAGATGAAACAGATGAAAATGACAGAACATAGTTAGTAAAAGTAATGTCAAAGGAGGAGGAACAAATGGCAAAGGTCAGCAGAATAATCATCACCATGACTCAGTTCATTCTTGGCCAAAATACAGGCTTCATGTAGCTGCATTGCATTCTGGTCTATTGAGTATAAATGCGGGAGAAAAACGATTTTTCTCCATCTTTTTTATGAGTTTGCTTTATAAGGACTTGTGCCCCAGGATTTTGAGCATTCATTAGCATACTTTTGGACTCGACTTCTTCGTTTTTTTAAGTTTCCTCATTGTGTATTTATATGTACATTTTTTACTTTTTATTTTTTCCTGTCTCGTATATGTGTACCTCTGTTGAATGCTGCTATCAACGATGTGAATTTCTCCCCTGTGATATAAATAAAGGCATATCTTATCTTATCTGGTGCAAAATGGTGACTCCAGTAAAATGTTCTGGCCCAGGTGGAGGGTAGCTATGGGCAGGAGTAAGTGCATGTGTGCATTTTACGATCAAAAGCGAAGTCAATGGAAAAATACTACAGACCAGCATCATTTCTAACATCTGACTGAAGTCACCCGTTGCACAATGTCTCTCAGAGAGGGGCAAGTTAAAGCACATTTGGTTGTGTTGCTCGTGAAAAATCACACACTGAAATGCGTAGCCTGCACTAATTCATGTTTTTATTGTGTTGGAGCAAATCAGTGTTGTAAATGTTAGTTTAACTTGAGTAAGATTTTCATTTACTATGGTTATTTTTGTCAGGCATCAAACAAAAATAGCTATCTCAGAGAAAGGAGGAGATGCCAGCCTCTGGCCTCAAACCAGGATACTAATCAGCTACTCCCACCTTTGAGCTACAGACCGCCCAAGTTGTCCACTCACATTTCTACCTGCACACCACAATATAGCAGGCCCCAACTGACCCTGGTTTCTGATATGTTGTTCTGTCATTCTGGGACAAACTTGGACCAGTGTCAGGTATGAAGCTCCCTACGATGTGTAATTTTAGCCTCTTCCAAACAAACGTCACAATGCTGAGAAAAAAAATGGAGAAATCTTTAGATATGAACCTGAAATGATGGTACCAGATGTCACCGTTGGACACTTCCACCAATAGCTGATTTCGAGCTTTGTGAACCAAATAGAGCTGCATTAAAATTTAGGACACATTTGTTAAACCATTTTTAAAAAGTTACAAATGATGAAAATGGTTCAGTTCTCGTACATTATTTTTCTGTTTTAAAGAATGAAGGATCAGTCTGACATAGATTACAATAAAGACTTTCTGGGATCCAGCACTGTGACAGGCAGTAAACCTACAAGGTAGCTGTTAATGCACAGTGGCCTTTTGTTAAAATGGCTGTGTGACATGTCGAATAAAAGAAATAAATAGATTTTTGATTTGCAGAAAGCTGGTGTCAAGTTTTGACTTCCTAAAATTGTGGAACTGTAAAGGAATCTGTACCTTAAATTGCAGAGCCTCTGTATATCTATAAATCACTCATAACAGCTTTTTAAATAGGAAATGTCCAAGTGAGGCATAATTTCAAGGGTCAGCGTTCATGATGACTCTATATAGACTTGTGCTTCTGAACAACAGACTTGAGACTTGACTTCTTCCTGTGTTTACAATTTAACTTTTATCTCCTCATGTTGTAGTCCGCTGAGGATTATACAAATAACACTGTTCCCACGGGCATCGTTGCACCAAGAAAAATTAAATAAAGTCTGCAAACAGCAACATTTTCTATCAAATGTAAGTCATATTTCCAATACATAGTAGTTTTAAAAAACAATTTCAAAGGAATGTCAGTGTTTTGTTGATGCATAGTTGCTATTCTCAGAAATGACCGCCTAACCACTGCCTTGGCATCTTTTTTTCAGGATTTTCTGAGACACTGGCCTGTTTTTCTACATAGCCTTGGGGAAGCTATGCCTTCTAAACAGAAAAACATTGTTGCTGCTCCCAGACTTCCTGCATGCCTAAGGACTGTTGATGAAAAAAATCTGCTCTTACAACTGCATATGCAGGCTTTCATGAACAGAACCATCACTAATAAGGCATTGATTGACTTCAAAAAGCAACAAAGCAGACATCTGTTTACATGCAAGTGCTGCACTATTTTAAATACCTGTGTCAGATCATCTCTCCTGGAAACAACCAGCGCTGCCTGGGCCTGAGCTGGAATGCAGATGCAAACACAAACCCACAGCAACAGGACTCTCCACAACGCAGGCATCCCTGCGAAACGAGAAGGCCTCTCTCCTGGCATGGCTGAGAACAAGAGTGGAGAGAATTCGAGGCATCTGGGGATCAAGTGTTCCCGTAAGAGTTACTCCGCCCACACTCTGTGGTCCTGCCCCTAAAACTCTGACCGTTTGTTAACGAGAGTCAGTGTGCGTGGTTTCCTGTAAATTGGTACGTGTTGGTGGGGATTACAGATGTATGGAAGACTTCATCAACTAAACGGATGTTTATCCAGTCCCAACTTGCCCCCTCAGTGCTTGATTTTTGGATGCACTATTGTATGCGTGTGTGTGGGTGTGTGTTTACTGCATACAAGAGTGCAGGGTTTAAGGAAATATAAAACACTGGGATTTCCTTTGCATAAATGCATTTATTTTTTTTCTCCTCATGCTGCGACATGAATAAGGTTGATTACATCATAATAAAGTGTAAACTACTCATTCAACCAGCATTAATTACTGTTCAGGGGTGGCATTGTTGTGGGAAAACAAGAATCTGAATCATTTGGTGCATTGTATCATGTAATATTGGATCCCCACAGCATACTTCACATGAACGATATCGGACTCAGACCTTTTCTTTCGAGTTGCTTTTGGGTACCATTTTACAACCTGTCATCTCCTGGAGATAACACACGCTTAAACCAGGATGAAAACAACAACACAGTACCAAACGAAAAACAGAACATGAAGGTTTAAAATCAGCCATTTTTCACTCTCAAAGTCAAGAACGTCTCTCGGGAATAATCAAAGTAATAGCAATAGAAACGCAATGTAAGTAGTCAGTAGTAGTTGGAAACCATTAAAATCTGACAGAAAACCAACATCTTTAAGGATTGTGTCTCACTAATGTTGATGCTATGTCCCATTCTTAAAGCACAGGGAATTATTCTGAAATTGTCCAAAAAACCCTGTAAATGAAGCCCATTGTCCTTTGGATAACTGATTTTAAGAGCACTTGTGGTGTAACTGCGGGCAGATTTGTATGATTATTCTATGAATTTGATGATTTCAGTGGCAGACATGGATGTGTTTAAACTTGCATTTAAACTGTTTTAAAAAGGCCCGACACTATGTAGTCTGTTGCATCTCCGTCAATGAGGCCTGTTCCGTTACTGTGAATGAACCAGCAGGGAACATTTTCTCCGTTCTTCACATCATTCCTGAAGTCTCTCTGCCAGCCTCTGTGGACCAAGAGACACATTATATGTCGATAAAATGAGATTGTGCATAAGAAGCAACAACCATCCACACATTTAGGACACATGCTTCATACAAATTCTAAGATCGGAGACATTCTTTGTACCTGGTCACATTGAGCTCTTGTCCTTTCACATACATGGTGGCATCTGGTTTCTCTGGGACTTCTCCTGGACGCAAGTCTGTCACCTCATATTCAATCCCATGGTAGAATTGACCTGGAGGAAGAGGCGCCATTTAAAGTAGATGATTTTATCCCTGTATCTCTTGCAGCGTGGAATAAAATAATTTCAGCTTTACTATGTGTCTTAAACTCTATTGTCAGAAAGAAGCATGCACCTGTAGCTGTTAAGTATCTCTGTGTTTATGTAGTATTACAAATGTATGAATGGACAAGCTACTTTTTACCATATTTAGAAGCACATTTCACCTTAGCATCATTAAAACATCAGACAAAAAATGCTGTAAATTCAGAAATATCACCACATCACTCCCCCTGGCCTGCTACACCATGCAATTCTTGAGATTTCACATCTTGTTATTACCTAGAAGGCCATGAACAGACGGAGACAAGAGGTGGCTGTCCAGAGTGTAGAAACCCAAGTAGTCCTGGTGGTACGGGTGCTTCTCCCACACTTTGTGTAGCAAGACCACAAACTTAACTGAATCTTTTAGAATCACTTTAAGGCTTCGGTCTTTGGTCACAAGAAGATCCACGCTGTAGGAGAGAAAAAGGATAAAGATAATAATCACTCAGACTCAGCCAAGGACAGTTTCTTTAGCTGTTGTAATAATGTGATGACTCACTTGGGTCCTTTGAGAGAAGCTGTATCAGACCACAGCAGCTTGATCCGTTTGCCGTCCTGGAACACTGAGATGTCCCGAGTGTTCACCTCCAGCTGGACCCCCAAAGTTTTGTGAACGATGCCAAAACGCCAAAAATAGGTGTTAATTTTCCCACTGGGGGGAATCTTCTTGTCTCCAATGATCTGGCCATTGACTAGAATACCTGAAGAAACACAGGAGGATCCAGTCAGTCACTGTTCAACAAATGATTTAAATCTTGATCTAAGAAAGTATTGGTGAAAAGGTAAAAGGACTGTATTTTATACTTGTTACAATGTAAGAGAGTCATGATGATAGTCAGGAGTCAGCTGACCTGATTTTGCATCTTTGACCAGATTGAAAATGGTTCCTGGCACGTCATTGATGTTGAAGCACAGAGCGTCGTCTTTGTCTGGGAGCTCTATCATGAAATGAGGATCTCCATCCACTGCAGGGGACACCGGAGTACAATGTCAGTAATAAACACAATGGACAAGACTCTCTATTGGACTAACATGCTGATAACTACATGTCAGTGACTAAACATCTGGAGAAACTCAAGCAGGTAGGGCTCTCAGGATTAGCATGGTCAGAAGAATTCATGATAATGATAATATCTGCAGAAAACCTGGAAAAATATGACTGTAGGTTAAATTAATCTTTAGCTTAGTTTTGTGTGTTTTGTCTGTTTTTGGCAAATATACTAGATGCTATGTTGGTCCATCTACCAATCATCTATCCATCAGCTATGTTGGACCATCCCCACCATGAAGCACGGTGGAGGCAGCATCATGATGTGATGATGTTTACACAGGGCTTTGTAAGGCTTGTAAATGTTGAGGGTAAAATAAGTGCAATGAAATGCAGAGAAACCTGGAGGACAATGTGATGCAGTCTGCAGTAGAACTGTGACTTGGGAAAAGATTTGTTTTCCAGCAAGACAATGACCTAAAACATATAGGCAAAACTACACAGAAATGGTTTAAAGACAACAAGGTAAACGTTCTAGAGTGGCTGAGTCAGAGCACAGACCTCATCCAACCGTTGAATTGTTGCTGGACTTGAAAGTAGTTGTTCACTCAAGATCCCTGTACATCCTGGCAGAACTATAGCAGCTTTGCAAAGAAGAATGATGCAAAATTGCAGTGTCCAGATGTTCAAAGCTGACTGTGACCTATCCACCAACGCTCGATACTTTAATTGAGGCCAAAACTGCAACTTGTAAATGTCAAGACTTAAACAAAAAAGATTTGAGGAGTGGCCCAATATGAAAAGTTAGTGGACTTCTGCAGTAATTGGGACTCTTCCTCTGAGGACCATAAATGTTTGAAGAAAATGTCTTGACAGTTTGTCTAATAGTTGGCATTATGGACCGACAGAACGGCAAAACCATGCAAGCAGAATTGTTAAAAAGTACTTACCAAAGTACGAGGGCGATGGCTGTAATGCCCGCCACGGTGGCCTGTTTGCATTGTGTTGAAATGCTACATACAGGGATAGTAAAATCCAACTTAAAAGCAATTCATTAAACTGCTTCAATCTCAGAAATCTTTCTAGACCAATGCCATCAAAAGAAACAATACATCTTACCCATTTTTTGTGCCAGCTGTCTTTGCTCTGTGAAAAACACATGAACAGAAACAACTTAGTACATTTTACAGTTTTAAACCACATTTTTTTCATGCTGATTAAATGCATAAAATGATGCAGGATTGTCATAATGAGTCACTGAAACAGATCATCGGTTAAGGAATATTAATTCAAAATTGCTTCATATGCAAATTAACAAGAAGCCAAAACAGCTGGATTTTAGTGACATAAAGTTTTATCTCAGACTCATGTATTTGTTCAGTCTCTTTGAAAGCAAATCCTGATCTCATAGAAGTCTGAAGATTTAGATTTGTTTTTGTTTTGTTGTGTTACCAAAATGAGAGTCTAATGCAATCCAGTTAAACTTGAGCGTGTCAGTTCCTCAACTGATAAGTAAAGAATGAATTAAACACATGAAGTAAATCATCTCGAGTCATGCAACAGTTAAAGTCCCTCCCGGATTGTCGCTTAAACCTCTAAAAACTCATTAACTGTACCTCAGAGTTACATATTTAAAATCCATAAAAATAAAACCTTTAATCCCTTAAAATGACTTCGACGTAACTCTAAAATGCAGTTTCCTCTAAAGCGTGCAGATCTATGAAGTCCATCTCTACCCTCTCAGTGCAGCTCAGCACACCGGCTCACCTACAACTCTGTTTGAAAACGACTCCACAGGAGATAATGGCAAGTTGAACTTCTGGAATTATTCAGCCATACATGTTAAAACCAGAAACTTATTCTATAAACCCTGCAAGCTGAGAGGATTGGTCCTTTAAGTTTTTTATGGATGAAACCCTGACAGTCTGAATCTGTGTTTTTAGGCAGTTTTATGGCGGAAATGCTCATCAATGGCTTTGACTGCTTATTTTGTTTATGATGTGTGATCTAGCAGATCAAATGACACAATATTGACTTGTGAACAAGGTCAAAACGTGAATATCAGTGGAGAGGGTCTTAATAAAAATGTGAAAGATGCAACAAGAAAAAAAACAAATAAATAAAATAAACAAAATAAATAAATAAATGTAAAAAACTGCAGAAAGTCCAGGAGGAAAGAATGCTTTCTTCTTCTTCTTCTTCTTAAAAATCTACTTTTCTTTTCTGACAGCTTCAATGCAATGTCATTGTGCTCGTTGGATCATCAGATGAAAAGCTTTTCAGGAATATTGATTCACTGTTTTTAAATTGCACATAATTTAGATTTTTTAGAATCCAAACTTAAAATCTTGCATGTAAAACCCCAGAAGTCTGAATCTCTAGTTTTGAGGCTGTTAATGGTACACTGCAGCTTCAGTGTGTGAAATGCTCAGCCATGGTGTTGACTTCTTATTTTGCTCACAAGTTATCTTCCAGTTTGTAAAAATCACCATGTCAACATCAAGAAAGTAAGACGCCTGATTATCTCTAGAGCTGGTATTTAAGTATTACTTGATTGGTACATTTGTCTCCTTATTATAAACTGTTTCCATGAAACACTATGTTGAAAATGTGAATTCAGTAGCTAATACTGTTTGTGGAAATGATACAGTAATATTTTGCTTTACAGGGAAACAAATGACCGCAGCCACATTAAGAAAAACCTGCCCACTGTAATTGTTTAAACACCCTCTTTGGTTACCCTCGGTCAGCTTGTCAGCGATGAGGGGGCTGTCTGGTCCGTTCTCAGTTTCAGGCTTGATGACTATCATGGATGTGAGAGGGGTGACGAAGCTGTATTGCAGGGACATGTCCAGGGCCTTGGCTGTGGCGTTGGTTTTTTCGTCTGAGGAGCCGGTCTTGCTGCAAGAAGAAATTTATTTCCACAAATTAGATTTTTACAAGATCAACATGGGCTCTTAAACAACAACCAACAGGTACCATTGAGTGGTAATTATCAAAAACAGATATTTTCATGAAATGAATATCACTTAATGTGAAGTGACTCCAACTGACCTCTTGTCCAGTAACTGCTGAATGGTGAGGTAGGCCCACAGACGCTCAGTGAAATCCCCAAATATGTACTCCTCGTCTGGGTACATCACACCCCAGTCCAATGTCCTGGCCTGGCCCTGCACCTTGAAATCTTCTTCAGACTACGGGGGAGAGAAAAGATGAAGAAGACAAGATGTATAAGAAAAAAATAGAGTAAGAGGCCTCCTCTCTGGATTTCTGCCTGTTCCTTCCCCTCACCCCTTGGCCAAACACTTCCACCAGGAAGTTGTCCATGTCGTTGTCCATCAGTCGACCAGCCACCACGATCTCTGAGCCATTAAACAACTGCTTGAAGTGGTTGGTGGTCAGTAAGTCCACTGCATTGTCGGGATAACGCAGGTCAACCTCTGAAAGCAGAGGGCTGGCCACTTCATCATAGAAACCCTGGGAGGAAAAAAAGCACATACACACACATTGTACTACATGTTTGTTGTGCAAACTGTGCAATATGAATGATTTTATTAAAAACAAACAAAAAAGTGTATACAAATGAATAAAGAGATGTGGTGAAGCTGCTGTTATTTAAATTAAAATGTGCAAACTCAACCCCAAAAATATACCAACAGCCTAAACCCTCTACCTGGAGCTGAAGCGTTGCATCTGAAGCCTCATAGATGCGGCGGGCCACCCCTTTGTTTTGCTGGCTCATCACATCCAGGAAGCCATAAGCAACGTCATCTCCAAATCCGAGACAGAACAGAGACGTATTTCCCCCAGTAGCAGCACGCACATTCTGCTGGATCACTGACGTGTCTGACACTCCTTCACAAGAACAAACACAACACAAATGTAAATGTAACATAAACTGATCAAATGTGCACAAATATAAAGCCTGTCTTGAACTACACTCTGCATGCTTACCAACATTTGGCATTCCATCAGTCAGCAAAATAATCATATCCACGCTTCTCTCTGGCAGCGTTTTGTTTTCTCTGGCTTGGACCAGCATTGCTACACCTTTCAGTAACGCACCATTGATATCAGTGGCTACAAGGAAAATACAAATCAAACTGTAATATGCACAGTATGCAAGTGTTTTTCTTTTATGGGGGGAGCAAATTTGACATTTGACGTCAAAGCTAAAGTCACTTGTTTTTCTATTGACCTCCTCTGTCGCTTACTGTCCTGACGTAGGCCCTGGCTTCATCCACATTTTCCTTGGTTGCTTTGACAAGTGATTCTTTCCAGGGTTCGATAAAGCTATCAAATAGGACGAGGGCAAAGTGGTCCTCTTCATGGAGGTCTTTGAGGATGGCCAGCAATGCCTGTCTTGTCTGCAAAAATAAGTCAGGGGTCAAACTGTGATCATGCGGTATGTTAAAAGCGCATCTACACTCAGGACAGTCTCTCACCTGTTGCATCTTTGTTCCACTCATTGATCCGCTCCTGTCGATTACAAACACCACATTCTTTGGGACTCTGGGCAGGTCGGGGGGAGCAAAGAAGTGCACAAAGTATCCGTTCACGATCTGAAGGAAATGGAATCATAGCAGCAGGAATATACATGCAAGAATGACAGAACGTAGATTTTAAACACAAGGAACACAGAAGTGACTTTGTGTAGTTCCATATATGAAGCCTTCAGCTCTGAATCCTCGTTGACAGCTGACCTGAATGTCCCCGAGGCCCGTCCCTCGGTTTACGTCATACTTAATGATGAAATCTCCATCAATGAGCGTTCCATCGCAATCTGGACACTTCCTCTGCTGATTCATAGTTGGTGAGAAAGAGATGCGTGCCTACAAGTGGACAAACACAGTGTATACAGTACAATAGCAGACCATCCTAAAAAATTATGAAAAAGGAGAGACAAGTTCTTACAGGCCCTAATGTATCTGTACCTTTTTGTCTGTGACAGTTTTCTCCACAAGGGGGAGCAGTTCATTGGAGAGGAAGGTTGCATGGGCATCAACGTAAGCGAGGCCCTGAGGCTCGTAGATGTTTGCCACTATCTGTTACACAGAGGAAAGATTTGTAAGGTAGGGCACTCTATCAGGATGTCTGAAGTCACCATAAGGCAGAGTTTAATCACGGCCATGGATTCACCTCAAACTCCTGGACCAGTGTTTTGGGTTTAACTCGGGTCAAAATCTCATACTGGCCCATTTTCCTCTGAAGAAGCTCCTCATAGGTCAAGATGAAAGTCACGTTACTTTCTGCTGCTATGTTGACAGACACGGAGAACTTCTCCATCTTTCTTCCTGAAGCCCTGTAATGAGACACAGACATCACTGACAGCTGCAAGGGATTCATTTAGGATTTTTTGTAAAGACACAGACTAGACTAGACTTTATCTTTGTGCTCGTAATAATGAGTTTATGTGTGTTTCTGTTGCATTCACTCACTTGACCAGTCCTGCAGTCTGTCCAGAGGAAACAGCCTTGTCATACTGTTGCTTTGCTTTCTCTTTCTCCTTCACCTCCCCAACATATAGCTTACTTTCAATTTCCCTGTGAGAAGATGGGGAAAGATATGAAGGAACTTATAGAAATGCCGGCTTACAAGTAAACAGTGAGAAAGTGAAAACAAGAGAGAAAAGGTCGACTGACATGCTGAAGTTGGTGATGAACGCAGTTTTGGGCAGTTCCACGTCAAAGAAAACTTCCTGGGACTCGTTAGCTTTGTTCATTGCCTTGGAGGTCATGATCGTGTGGGCAAAACGAGATGTGACGGTGCAGTCGACTGCCACACGGTGAACCTCCACCTGAGAAACAAAGACAAGTTTAAGCGCTACTATAAGCACGTAAAGGACAAGTTCTCAAATTCTAAAGTCTGTCTTGAAACAATAGTCAGGTGTCCATCTCTTGCTGTAGTTCTTCCTCCTTTTCACACTTCATGTGCTTTCAATCGAAGCAGGTGGGGACGAAACACACAGTTTGTCTTCTGAGTAAAAATATCTGCATTTAATATGAGGCTTCATTGGTCTGAATTAATACAATTAAGTTAAGATTTTATTTTAAAATTCCCCTTTGTGTTCCCCCAGACAGTGTTTACATGCTGGACTGCAGTGGAGGGACAATAACATAAAGAGAATATTTTTGACATGCAGCTATTTTAGACATCAAGTAAGTCAAAATTAATGTCATTTTAAAGAGATTTATTTATTTATTTATTTATTTATTTATTTATTTATTTATTTATTTATTTATGCAGTTGTCCTGACAGGTGCCAAAAAAAAACACCTTACAGTTTGAGAGACATGATGCCACTGAAGAGTGTGGATCTTGGAAAGCCAGATACTCTCAACCAGTTTAATCAATCTTTTATTGAGAGTCTATTGATCTGTTAATTTATTTGCTATTTGTTTTCTTGTTATATGGATTATTTATGGTAGTGCTTGAGCTTTGTTATAATTATCTATGTTTCGAGCTATCATGTCTTCTGAATCTGTGTTTCTCCACTGAACGTATGATTCTGTTTTGCGCTTTTCTACTGAGCACAATGCACGTCCTTGAAGATAACATGGCTGGTTAGAACTGATTCACATACTGGGAGACAACGGAAGCTCCTCTGTTCTATCAGTTATCACTTTAGATACATGTCTTTTGGACAACACACACCCACATTTTGTATTCGATCCAAGCAGTTTCTGTTTACATTTCAGTAAACCTCCACATGAACAGTGGTTAGCCTGTTCATGTTACAGTAACTGGCCAATTAACGTACAAGACCAACTTGTGTTCGGGGCAGGCCTGCTGCAAGAAGATGAATGCGAATCATTTCCGGACATCTCTCGCGAGAGCTCCATTAGCCCAGTGCTGCCTCTCTTCACCTGTGACCTAAATAAACTCTACATCTGTGAACTTAAGATTTCTCCGGTTTGTTTTTAAGCTTCCAGCTAAAGAACTGGGCTAGCATCTTATCCCTGTTTTCAGTGTAATTTTCCTTTTCTTTTTTAGTGATCCGTCTTTACGTGCGTTCCCATAGCCATGCAACCAAACTATACAGTATGCAAGAAAAAGATTTTGTACATAGCATGCCATATGCAGATTACTTCTGCAGTATGCAAGACAGCTTTTCTGGCCTTCGTTCTGGCCCACAATCCTCTGCTCAGTTGCATTGTGGTATAAACAAGCGTGAGTTGCCAAGATTCCACAAAAAGATAACGTTTTAATGTTACACTTCAGACGACAACAGTTTAAGATGTAATAATATTATGAAGAAGTAGGACCTAACTGTATTCATATTGCATGAAACAGCATGTGCTTTGTCAGGGCAGCTGCTGAAAGAAAAAGTGTGCAATCAGGAGTGCAGCCATCTTTGATTTTGTTCATACTTATTTCCTGCTTTATTTTAAAAAGATCCTATTCCTGGTGTGTCTATTGTGGTTTTGCTTCATCCCTTTGTGTGTTTTCACGCCTTTTTTTGGTTTTCTGCTCTGCCCTCATTAGCTTCAATTAGTTTCACCTTTGTCTTGTTTCCCAGTCAGTACTCTGTGTATACGCAGTCTTGTTCCTCTCTCATTCTTTTCCGGGGACTTACTGTAACATTTTTATGGGCGCACATTGGAATCAAAGGGAAATGAAATGACAGACAAGACTTTGAAAGCCACAGATGGTATTCACTTTGACTTGGAAGTTAACATCAGCAGGACGGAAATCAAAAGCATCACCAAAGACTGAAGGGAAAGCAAAAAGCAACAGGAGGAAGAGAGGAAAGCACGACAATACTACAGAGTTCAAAAAGAAATTGGGAGAATGGAGTTGTGTGAGAAGGGACAGGTGAGAGGAGATAATGACATCAAGGCTGAGAGGATTTAAGAAGCACACTATTCAAAATACAGAAACACAACAGCGGCAGACTACGGTGAGGAAGAAGAAACAGTAGAGCAAGTTATGATAAACTATCGGAAATATGAGGCAGACAGAAGACAACGGATCCAAAACCTCAGGAAGATTAAAGTGAAATTGACATTATTGACTCAAGAAGTGAGTGCAGCCAAATCATATTTCAGTATCTTATACAAACCAATTTGATCGAGAAGATATAAGGCCTCATAAGATAAATAAAGTTGTCTTGAATTAAGCATTTCTCATTATCTTCCACCAAGATACAGATTTTTCTCTTACCGTATTCTCACTTGTGCTTCGTTTCTGTAATAAAAACAAAGAAAAAGAAGATATTATATTTAAATTTTGATCAATAAAATTGTTCACAGAGCTGAAACTGAGTATGCATTAATGACTTATCTATGTCATACAGTTATGATCCTAATACTGAGGGTTAACATCAACGAAAGCTAACAAGCTGTTCAAGAGAGTATTTGTCAGGGAACAGTTTCTACCTGCAGTCTTCTGGCAGCTCCTCTAGTGTCCTGAAATACAAATACAGGATGGAAGAACGACACAGTGTCAAGACGTTAGAGGGTTAAAAAAATAAAAAAAAACACAATCCTGGCACAACAACATTCCAGCTTGTAAGAATAACTTTACATTCTGTATGAAGCAACATGTAGGATTTTAGCTGCAAACTTGGAGAAACAGAGCTTGTTTTGAAGTGATTTTTTTTTTTAAATTAAGAAAAGCCTAGTGGTTAAATCTGGAGCTACCTGATAAAATGAATGCTGGCAACAACAAAAAAAAAAAGAAAGAAATTCCAGCTATAAAACGATGTGACTTCAAGTGAAGATCAGAATACAAAAAAAGGGTCAGCGTGTGAAGTTACCTGCAGAGCTTCATCGCCCCGGGAGATGAGCAGAGCCCCCGAGGCCGAGCTGCAGAGCCAGAGGCAGGCCAAGCCCCACAGCAGCAGCAGGCGAACACCCAACAGCCCAGACATGACCAAACTTCCACTGAACACTGTCTCCCTTCAGTGCTGAGAAAAAAGCTCTCTGCCCTGGGGGAGGGACACAGTGTGGATGTGTGTGTGGATGTGTGTGTGTGTGTGCTGAATATTGACCAACAGACCTGAGCTCAATGTGCAGGAGGTCATGAGGCACAAGCATGAAGTATGTACAAGTATGAGATTATGCGTAGGGCTGAAATCAAACTTATTTAGCTATTTGGCTCAATGACAATGACACCTAGAACCTCAAATCAAACTGTACTTATAGGGGGAAAAAAGCATCAATTATGGACTCTAACATCAGTGTTTAGTGTATGAGATAATTCACAATACAAATCCTGTGTGACATGTCATAACAGTTTTCCTATGTTACAGCTACATATTTGTGTTCTCTGTTGACTGTCATAAACAAGGAAAGTGGAGGGTGTTTAAATAGATATGAAGCAAGCATTTGTGTTTACCAAGTGTAGCTGTTGAATGTCATTCACCAGCGTCAAACCGTGGACTACTGTAAGAAAATCAGACAGACTCTTCATTTATTTGTGCCACAGTTGCAAACATCTGCCTTTCTAAATCATTTTCAGCATCATGATACGTTGTAGTACCATCAGAAAACATATCCAGAGTCCCAACAAATGTAAACTAAGCTTTATTTGATTTAGAACTTTTGGCTGCATGTTATATTTGTGATTCTGCCACTCTAAACTTTGATAAACCAGCCTGGCTAAACAGTACTCTGTACTCTGTCCCATGAGTCATTCCTCTCAACTGGCACTGTGGTTCTCTACTGACATCCCCTATTTTTTATTTTTTGGTTCATTGGTGAGTAATCAGCAGTATACACCAATACAACTCCTTGGTCACACTTTCCATCTGTGGTGCCCAAACACGGGAGACGTTTCTAAATTCTCCAGAAATCTTGTGTTATGTCCCCCCACTGTGCTTGGTACACCTCAGGAATAATCACATTGACGCGGTGCTACAGCCCAAAGTGTGAAGTCACAGGCAGCATTTCAGAAACATCCACTGGAGCTCTGTGTGTCTTTCTGTGTTTGATATGACCGGCGTGTATCTACTGTAATATGAACAGAACCACCTCCGTGTTCACTGTTCACAAAGTCCTCATCAGTCTCCACATAGGGATCTGGAAACCATGAAGGGTTGGCCATAAGGGGTAAGAATGGCTTAGCTATTTACAGATTTGAATGCTGCACTGTATCGTTGTAGTTATTCCTGAGATATGCCTGTCAGGGCTGCAAGGTGGCTCGGTGGTTAGCACTGTCGCCTCACAGCTAGAAGGTCTCCGGTTTGTGTCTCGGTGAGGACACTCGGGATCTTTCTGCGTGGAGTTTGCATGTTCTCCCCATGCAGTCTGGGTTCTCTGCAGGTTCTCCGGCTTCCTCCCACACAGTGCAAAAACATTTTGAGGTTATTTGAGGCCATTTGCTTTTGAAGAAATTCAAGGTGAGAATGATCGCTGACAATACTTGGTTCAGGGAATTTGCACACAGACTTTCTTGATGTATGCTACAGTGGCATACAACAAAATGAACTGAGACTGGTGTGGACTAGAAAGGTTTATCTATACTAGAGTTAGAGTGTTCTGCAGCCTGTGCAAGTGTTGCCATCCTCCACAGTAAAGGAAGATAAATGTTATGTTCCTTCTCTCAAGCAGTCCTTTCTCATGCAAGCGGACATCAGTACATCCTTTGTTAGATGATGCTAGCAATACTTTTTGTGGTCCAACAATGGCCAAGGTTAGCTCATTGAGAAAATGTTTCGAAGTCTTAGATCCAGTGACAAGTAGAGTCATTTTCTCATAGACTTCTATACAAACTGACTTCTTTATGCAACCAGTGGAGTCGCAACTGCTGGAGAGTTAGAGAGAATGTCGGTTTATAGTAGTCATGCATTAGCTTCACTTGCTATGCCATGACACTACGTATATAGTCTACGATTTCCATTCTCTGTCAGTCTTCACCAACTTCTGAAGGAAATATTTGGTTCTTTATTCTTGTAGTTTAATCACAACAACTTCTTGAAGACTTTTCACCTCTCATCCAAGAGGCTTCATCAGTTCTGACTGACTAGTTGGGAGTTCCAGATACTTATATCGTTAAGTGTTAATGGCTCCTTAAGGACATAAGTATCTGGAACTCCCAACTAGTCAGTCAGAACTGATGAAGCCTCTTGGATGAGAGGTGAGAAGTCTTTAAGGAACTCAAGCAAGTCCAGTTGCTACGGTTAAACTACGAAAATAACCATGACCTGAATTACTGAGAATCTTCACAGACATCTGGCTCTTTAGCTGCTGGATGTTTGCTTGGTTGATGGAAAACATGTCAAAATCACAGCATCTCCAAAGTCCAGCAGCGACTACTTCAATTACAGCTCTTTTAACAATTCATTATAAAGGTGTGAATGACCGACTATCTCCACATGCAGTTTCTCTCTGAACAAGTATTTGCTTAAAGTACCATTTGTTTTCTGTGCTTGCATGCACACAGTCCACATGGTCAAACATTTTGTGCTGCATGTGAGCGTCTGCAGAGGATTCCATGTGGATGCTCATGTACCCTCATGGATTTGGGTGGATGAAAAAATTTGCGTCGCATGTTCCTTTGGGCAGGCGTATTCTGAAAGCACGAACTGGCCTTTAAGGCGTATCCTAATGAGCTGACTAACACTAAAGCACTGCTTCATGTTAACTAAAACTGGCAAATTTTGGTTTTCTGTTGGGTTGACATGACATGTAGAATCATATACAGCAAGGTTAGCGCACCATTTACATTTTGTAGGCTGTAAATATATTAAGGAGAATAATAGCTACATGAATACCTTGTTCTGGGAAAAACACTGAAAAATTTGAATTTTTTTTAGGCATAGATTATTTCCAAACTTAATATTTAATAATGACGTTCAAACTTTGTACACAATAACGGTAACAGATGCAAACATTGTGTGCTTTTATGCAGCAGTGTTCTTGGACACATACCTTAGAGCTGAGGATTATTATGATTGTGGTTTTCAAATTAACAAGTTTGTTTGTTACAATTACTATTTACCTGTATTTGGAGCAATACAAATACAGTAAAACAACCTTTTTACTACTTGCAAATAAAACAACATTACATTTTAACACAGAGGAAAATGATCAGGTAAAAAAAAATCCCCAAAAGCAAATAATTTTACAAAAAATAGCAGTTATATCAAAATAAGCCACAAAATCCACATAATGCAGTAATACCACTGACTCTGAAACGTGAAGACTACAGTGTGTGTTTGGTTTCATACTGCTGTTCGTCTATTTGCCGAACACACTGGCTCCAGGAGCTTTGGCAGCAGTAGGTTTATCCAGGACTGTCTCGGTTCCCGTCCTCACACCGCTGAACACAGACGGAGCCGCTTTGCCCATACGCTCTGAACACAGAGACAGATATTTAGACAATATAGAAAAGCAGATGCTTTAGGCTCCAAAAGAGACACCAAAAATGTTTGCAGTAACCATTTGTGTTTCATTTGATCTCTCAGCAGGTGGCCCCAGTTTCAATCCCAGATGAAGAATTGCATTTTTTCCTTCCTGTTTTTACAGTTAACATCAGCCTCTAATGGACAACATTTCATTTTTATCTTCAGGTTCAATATTTCATCTTCATGTGTGATATTACCTCAGTATAATTTCCAGCACTACATTTTAGTGTTGTAATTTAGTCTCATTTTAACTTATTGCAGCATTGCATTGTATTCATATCTTACTGCTTTTTTACTTCTTAGTCGCTGCACTTCTTATGTCGTTCATTTTTTTCCTGAGCAATATCTGGCACAAGAATTTCCTTCAGGATTGATAAAGTTTCATCTCATCTCATCTCATCTTCTTTGAGAAATGACTTAATTCGAGCTGACTAGTTAACTAGTGCTGAAAGTGATTTTGCGTTTGAATCCACATTTCCATCATAAATTAATGAGGAAAACACACACACATTGGTGCATTAAGTTACATCAGAATGCATGAATTGAAGTGTTTGGTGCTCAAAATGCCCAGATTCCTGCTCATGGGTGCAGATCTCATTTGATAATTGTTGTAAATATTGAAAATGTTGAGGGGGCTATATGACCTACATCCCCTCTTAAATCTACGCCTATGCCCCTGCTTGTGTCTCCCTTAAATGCCCAAATGAAATCCCTGCCAATGAGTGAGGCACATATCACAGTTAATAACATGATAGCAGCTGGATATGTGTAGCATTAGCCACCTAGCATTGCTCAACGGTGTGTCGTAGCTCTTTTCTCTCCACAGGAGGGTTTGTAAGGTTTGTAACAACAGTAACAATAGTTCACTTCGACAGATGCGAGTCAACTTTTACGATTTGGGGAATCCTCTTAAACACGACATTTTCGAAGAGCTGATTGTGGTCTCCTTTTGTTTTTTCAAAACCATTACGAATGTCGAACTCTACATCTGTCCCTGGTGGTCTAGTGGTTAGGATTCGGCGCTCTCACCGCCGCGGCCCGGGTTCGATTCCCGGTCAGGGAACATACTTTTGTTTCATTTCTCAGATTTGAATACATTCTGCTAATAGAAGACCATATCCACCAGCATTAACTAAGCTACTAAAACTTTGCTCTGAACCAACAGATCACTTTTGTTTTAAAAGACTATGGAGATGAATTTTAAAACATATTCTGAAGCCTACATACACAGATAAATACTGAAATACAAAAATACATTTGGTGGATTAATTCTGTATTTTATGTAAAAAATATGAATACATGTGTGAACACTGTATCTATAACTATATGAATATATAAAGTTGGTACTAAATAAAGGCCTTATTATTATTGTTATTATCTTTTTTTTAAACAGTTGTTTGAGTCTACATGTGCAGAATGTTCACATCTCTGCTTTAATTTAATCAAGCTTTTCTGAAAATGTTCAACACTTACTTGCTGCTTTAGGAGAAAATTTAAAATCTACAGGCCAAGCAAGAGTACAACAAACATCTTCACAGTAGACAAAAGCTACACTTGTAAGGATAACAAGGCAAAGTGTATTTAGAGATTGTCTTTCTGATAAGTTTAAAGATTTATTTACTCCTTTAACAGAAAATGTAACATCTACAGGCCAAGGGAGATAATAACAGACATCTTCACAGTGGAGAAAGATCACATTTGTAAGAAGGAAAAGGGTCTTCAGAGCGAGTTAACGTGCTGTCATGTCTCATGTGTCAGTGTAAAACACTTTACTCACCACACTCCACCATGACCTCATAGGTCTTACTCTTGACCTCGCCCTTCAGTCCGAGCTTACTGCGAGCTCCTTTCAGGTCCTCCTCCTTCATCGGAGGGCGCTTCTTCTTCTTTACCTCGCCTGGCTACAGTGAAGGACAAGAAGCAAATAAAGTTACTGGGTGGTAATGTGGTAAATGTTTGTACATAATGAAAACAGCAGATGATGTGACGTACCTGTGACATGGTTATTAAAGCTGGCTCCACAGACTCTCTCTCTGGTGTTTGCTGCTTGTTTTTCTGGTGTGTCTTTGTCTCCCAGCGAGCCTGGCTTTATATATAGTCCTAGTCCGGACCCAGTGAGTCAGTCAGACCACCTACCATCAGTTCCCCTCTGACTGTTGTCAGTGTGTATTATTAGGCGTGACGTGAGGGACGGTACAGCTAGAACGGGTCTCCCATCTTTAACGATAAGCTTACAGGCCAACAGCTGATAATTCAGGACACAAGTGGCCGTCTGCCTCCTCCTCCCCAGATGACTCTGGCACGGATCCTCTTTTTGAAACTGTTGGCATTAGGAGGAAAATCAAGAGCGTCCACCACCCAGCAACACCTCATCGCAGCTCCAGTGGTTGCCCGCCCGTCGCTATGACTTGATTTAAGCCAGAGGGAATTCCTTTTTTGAGACTTGTAAAAAGCATTTCCAGACAGTTAGCACATGGACTAACAAAATAAGGGCTGAACCAAGAAGAGAGCTGAGACAACTGCCCAAATATCAAGCTGGAGTTACCAAACAACAAGCAGGATTCATGTGAAATCTGCCACCATACACCCTGTTGAACAGTTATGAAAGTAGTTTTAATTAAAGCTGTACCTAAATGTAAGTTTTTACCAAAGTGTGTCTACAGTTAATTTTTCAGCCTATTCTTTTATGAGGTATGCTTCAAAGACATTTCTTACTTTATTTTATTGTTTTTATGTTGTTAAATGTTCTTCTATTTCTGCATCTTTTTTTAAAAAAAAACAAAACATTATATTTTATAAAATTATTGGTCTAGGTTTAAGCATTTTAATGTTTTGTCTTTTTAATCTAGTTTTATTTTACTCTATTTGTTCAGTTCTATTTGTGGCTCATCACACATCTATGAAGCAAGTCACTAAGCTGTAGGAAAGGAACATATTTCATACCAATAAAGTTTGACTGATTGATCAACTGATTTAGATAAATAAATTACTTTTTTTTTTTCATTTAGCACACATAACAGGTGACATCTCCTACATCTGTTCAGGTAAATACAGTAATTTCCAACTATATCAAAGAGCTGAAAAAAAGAGATTCAGAACTGACAAACAACCCACTTTAAAAAAGATTATCTAATAAACATTAGACTAAAAAGTTTGTTTTTTTCCCAATGTAGGGCACGTAAGATGTGTTTACATTTTGCATTCTCCTGATAACAAGTTGTGTTTTAGGCTGGAACAAGTAAGCCAACAGTTAGGGTAATATTAGTCATACAACTTGGCAACCTGTAATCTGAAATCGAGGTGTTAACGGTGTGATGATGGACAAACTGACTCACTGTTTGAAAACTCATTCAGGCATTTCTCTGACATTTAACATCACAGTACCAAGATAATCTTATAAACTTTGAGGAAAGAGTAGGAAAAGCCACATCCCCTCACCTATCATTTCTATGTTGAGCAGAAAAAGGTCTTTTAGTCATCTCCAAGAAATACACGTCTGTACAGATTCTTACTAGGATTTCCAAGTGCCATGTTTGTATCTCACTGTGCATGTGTTTACTCATCCTGTTAAAGATAGATTTTAAATTTAAATGATGGCATTATAACCTGTACTTGAAGCTCCACCAGTGACTTTTAACATCATGACAGTTAAACAACACAAATTATATGCTTGTATCAAGAGAACAGAGAACACAGGAACTGTAAGGTGAAAGTAATAAATAGAAAACAGGTGTTAGTGTGACACTGATCATATGTGCTTGTCTCAGGAATGACTCATGAAGCTAAATTACTACCTGTGTGAAGCATCTGCGAGAAGCTACAAGCAGCCGATCTATTTCTGTGGACAAAGTCATCAATGAACGTCGGGCAGCTATAGTGGTAAATGTACGGCCTCTAGCGGTAAACAGCTGCCACGACTTTTTTTTTTTTTTTTTCCAGCGACTTAATAGTGTCTTATCAGTCCCTGGTGGTCTAGTGGTTAGGATTCGGCGCTCTCACCGCCGCGGCCCGGGTTCGATTCCCGGTCAGGGAACATGTTTTTATGTCTTTTACTTTATACCAAAACGGCACACTACATGAAATATTCTTTCTTTTTAAAATTGGGAGAAACCAGGGGTCTTTGTTTGAAATCATGACTTTGCTGGATTATTTTGTCTTTAATCCTAAAATACTAGTTGCACAATAATGGCCTGATTTAAAATGGAGCTAACTGCTGAAGACAAAATTAGCTTTTTTTTTTTTGTTTGTTTTTTTTGTCAGGGCAAAAGATCAAAACTAGATTGCTTTTATGTGTGACAGAAAAACTAACTTGCAATTCCTGCAGCATTCCAACATGTACAAAACATGCTGTATAGGTAAAACAACAGATACTAAACGATGCAGAGAACATGCATTTAGTGAACAAAAAAACGCAAAGTGGTTTCAATTCCTGGTGAGAAAACATTTTTTCTGAAAATCCCAACACTTCGAGGAAATGACTTGGCTAGTAAGATAGTGTATCACATTCTTTATTTGAAAAGCATTTATAATGATAATTTACCCCCATCACTTGTCTCTTAATCATCTCGTAGTTTGCAAAATACTAAAAGCCCTCTTTGTCCTGGTTGAGCTGAGTGTTAACATAACTGCTGCAAGGTGCTGTACTTTCCCCTTTTTAAATGCACAGTCATTTATTCCTTGCCAACATGCCAAAAACATCAGAATGAAATCATCACCAGCACCATAGTCATCACAGTTTATGTCACTCCATTTACTTTAAACAGGACCAGCAGTCACACCAGCTAAGCACACATCTATTCAGCACACACCAGTCAGTACAGGTGTACTGCACATATACACCGGCGTGCACTAACAAAAACACACACACACACACACATACACACTCTTTCTCTCAGCTGTCTGGTCCACACTCACTGTTTACAGTTTAGAGGTCTATGCATGTCACATTCTTAACATCAGAGCCTGCTGAATGCTGCTTCATGCCTGAAGGTCTGGAGCTCTGTGTAAAACAGTCAAAGAAAACAAAACCAACCAAACAAACAAAAAAAGAAAAAAAAACCCGAACCAAACACCTGCTGGTAAATCACTCAGGCACATTACTGGAACAAAAAAACAAACTCACACAAAATACAAAAAGGAAAGACGAAAGCTATGATAAATGGGAAATTGTGCAAGAAATGGCTCCCATATCTACTCTCTCTGTTGGAGTGAAGGAATAAAAAAAAAAAACAACACTTTTGGGACAAGCATAGTCACCTTTTTGGCCCGAAAATAACACTCAAAAACAACTTGAGATGAGACAAAAAGACAAGATGAAAACGTACAGTTAAGAGCACATCAGTAAAACGGTGGAAAAACAAACTGCAGTCTTGTGTCTACAGACGTGACGAAACTGTCGAGTCGGTATTAGAAGGACGCTGCAGGGTGGTTGCTTTGTAGTCCTACAGGTTTAATCAGCTGCTAGACGACAAAAATGGAAGATTGCTGCGAGAGTTAATGTGCTCACTCCGACAAAAGTAACATTACATACAACATGTACAGTAGTAAATCGTGGAACTGTGCTGCAAAGTGTTAGAGTCACATCAATACAGTGGGCTAAACACTGACGTAATGCTTCTCTTAAGTTAAAGGGTGTGTGACTGTACACACCCTCACAGACACACACACACACACACACACACACTCTCCCACACATCACACACACCACAGGCCATGGTGGTACGTCTATATGAGAAGACAAAAGGACAAAGTTTACATGAAATCTACATCAGGGATACGACCACTTTAGGGACACGTTAGGGCGTCAAATGTAACCAACTCCAGAGATAGTGTCGCTTGCATGATATTTGGCTCTACTGGGCATGTTTAGGTTGGTCCAAATGACCTGATCCTGGACTACCACCCTCATGCACGTTGCCGCTGAAGTCCAAACAGTATTAAACCAGCGTTATTTGTTTCCTATTATACTTACATTAAGGATCTAACCGTATAATGTTTCGTTTATGGTGATATTCTTTTTTTTCCCGGTATCGTTAAACGCACCCCATGAGTGCCATGCCGAAATGCAACAGTGAGCAGAAGAACTTTGTTAACTGCTAAAAAATATGTTGCAGAGTCCTGGTTTAAAGAGTTTTTTTTGTTGTAGCAATCCTCCAGGAACGAACAGTAAAGGGAATTAAATTACAGTCTATTATTTTGTCATCATGATCCGTAGAGGGTACAGGGAATGTACGTGGACTTGTGAGGTGAGGAGCTACCAGAGGAAATTCGATCGTAGCGGTAAAGCTAGGCACACAGGTCAAACAGGGATCCCCATGCGAAGCTTCTTCTTCTTCACTGTCTTCAGACCAGTGAGTCGACGGACATCGTCTTCATCCGACTCGTCCATTTCATCGTCTGCTGAGAAAAGGATCTAAGAGAAAGGAAAGAGACACAGAGAAATAGTAACTCGTCAAAGTTAGGTAGGCGGGTTCACTGTTGCATTAAAAATCCTGTAATCGCTCAATGAATGGATAAAAAAACAAAACAAAAACTGCACTCAACAAATTTCTGGGTGGGTAGGAAAAACATTCAGTTTGGCTCCATAACATGAATCAGAGATACATTTTTAGTTCTCCGTCATTAGATTATCATACCACAAATACAGAGCATGGGACTGTTTTGGTGTGGAGGAGGAGCTACAAGGAGCTACAAGTTCTGAAATCCTTTACAATGCCTGACTTTGCTTCTTTCCAAAAATGAGGAACTTTGAGGTCCAGCCATGTAGTGATCTACTTACATTCACCCTCCTATTACCTTCAAATTCACTGACATCTTTTATACTGTGGTCAATTTGAGCCCAGCAACTTAAACCTCCAGAACATGATCAGAATTAAAATTGTTACCCAAGTTTGTGTGTAACTAGCCCTGAAAAGTCACTTATCACAATGACTTATTTTGAGATGTTAAACATTGAATGGAGTCAAATTGACCCCAAAGATAATAGTAGGGTTAAGTTGAACAACTGATAAGAAAGATTATTAATGGTAAAATGGTAAAAGAATGGTCAAATTGAGACAGCAGAGGTCAAGATGTTCTGTCCTTCACTCCCTAGTGCAGATCAAGCTCCAAACACATTGATTCTTTTTTTTTTCTTTTAACAAACTCATTAAAGTTTCACACCTTCCCAGACTGTGTCTTCTAAATTTCAGCTCAAAATACTGCAGAGATGATGAATTTTACCATGACTGTTATAATGTCTGGCTTTTGACTGGTTCTCATTGGGCTGCCTTAGTGTCTGTAGTGTTTAACACAACTGCCGTCTATGCCCCTTTCACAAAGAAAACTCTGCATCCGTGCTGGACACAGCAAAGTAAAACCGCTGACCACTCGGCAGCCAACAGAGACTGAATGAAGGATGTGGGACCAGGTCTTCTTATCGCTTCAAACTTTCTCTCTAAACGATTATGCCTAATTCACAGCCTGGCTGCTGTTTTTAACTCGTGTTTGGGATGAGTATGTCAGACACCTTTGCGGTTATGAAATCAGTAGTTTCGCGATACAGACCAGCAACACGGACATGGTTCTGAAGAGACTAGTGGATTACATGTAGTCTCAAGGAGCTGCGTTTTAGTCAGTATTTCAAGCTTGTTACGTCGTTGACAACAGAGACCGAAAAATGTGCAAATGAGCTAAGTTTTAGTAGGATTTTACCAGTATTAATATGAAGTACATGTGAGCACAGGGAGCAGGAGAGAAACAAACTAATATAAACACTGAATGAGTTTAGGTTGCACAACAGGTGAAATGAAAACACATGAACCTGCCGGTGCTTGTTGATTAGTTTCAGATCAGTCAATTAATCAGATTGCTTCCACAATCTTTGAATGTTCCTCAGCTTTACAGTTTCCACAGAGCTCTGAGCTGTGGGCATACCATCAAGTTAATGGTAACATTTACGCACATTGGTGGCACCATATGCAAAACATTTAAGATATCCTATTGTAGTTGGTACACTGCCCTCAAAAATAGAGGTAATTCATTCAATCTTCAGTCCTCATAGATTGAAGGTGCAGGAAAACTCTTGGCTCCACAAAGCTGCTCATTATGAGTGGCTCACCTGTAAGCAGGAGGCAGTGAGATAAGAGGATAATGCAATTATTTTGATTGAGGACTATTGGTTACCCATTTTGCACACAGAAACTGCCAGCTACACCTCTAGCTATGTATTATATAGCAAAGCTCATTCAGCAGCTCACTACTGCCCCCAGAACAGGTACACAGCTCCCTGGTGGTCTAGTGGCTAGGATTCGGCGCTCTCACCGCCGCGGCCCGGGTTCGATTCCCGGTCAGGGAATGTGTCTTTATGCACGTGTTTAGTACTTCATGTAACATGTTATGTAGAGAATCCACAAAATGCTTCATGTCAGGTTTCTAGTCTGACTCAAAAACACAAATCAGTTCCCCTGGCAAGAGAAGAGTCTTCTACATAAGCATAAACATAAAACACACATCGCCACTTACAATTGGGTGATGAAATACAAGTTAATCCGTTCAGCAGAATGTCAACATAGATAAAACCGCTACATTCACAATAAAGCAAAATGCAGCACACAACCACAGAAACAGAACAAAAAATGTTTTTGTCATTGCACTGCCCTGCAAGATGACACCACAACGAAATTACAAAATTAGCATTGGCACAATGTGCTAAGCCCTGTGATAGACTGGTGACCTGTCCAGGGTGTCCCCTGCCTTCGCCCTAAGTTCACTGGGATATTAAAACCGATCTGTTAAAATCTCACATTTAGTTGATTATCGTTTATTAACACTCATTCAGGGGGCTCAGTGTGTCTCCCCTAAATCACCCACACAGCTCCCTGGTGGTCTAGTGGCTAGGATTCGGCGCTCTCACCGCCGCGGCCCGGGTTCGATTCCCGGTCAGGGAATGTCTCTTCATGTAGAAGTTGACTACTTTATGTGATGCTTCATATCACATCTGTAATCTGACAGAAAAATGCACTGGCAACATAACATGGTGTTCTAAACAAGCATGTTGCATTTTCTGCTTAAAACAGCAGGAGTGAAAAGTGGGCAAAAAAACAACAATGCCACCAACACCCACACAAAGATACCTTACATACAATTACATAAATATGTTGTATTCCCCCAATTCTTTATGTAGTTTTTGCCCCCAGTCTTTCCTGCAGTAGAAAATAACCACTGTGTGTAAAACTGTTCAACAACCAGCAAATTCCTCTTTCCCCCCATGACTTCACATAATAGTCTGAGGGATTATTTCATACTCATAATCGGAAACATCAAATCTTCATTTTAAGCCCTGAAATAGCGAGTATGAAAAGGAATCACGAGCCAGCCAGGAGTCGAACCTAGAATCTTCTGATCCGTAGTCAGACACGTTATCCATTGCGCCACTGGCCCGCCGTGACAGCGTACTGCTGCTGACACGAATACATTGGTTGCAGCGCGGCTCAGCCCCTCCCCCACAACTCGGCGCTCTGCTGAAAGCATGCTCTCCGAGGGAAGCTGCAGCATGCGAGCAGGAGCTGAAACAAACCACAGAGCTGGCTTTTGTCTGCACCGCTTTCACAATTTATATGTTAAAATGCCGTTAAACTCAGCTTGATGTTGTTTTGTGATGTAAAAACCTACGGTCATGTGGCACTTGTGGCTCATCGACTAGAAATACAGCCACTATTTTAAGGTCAAGCACCATTTTGCTCAAATAATGCTGCACTAGAAACAAACCGTCTGTTTCCAAAATAAAAATTAAACACCGGTTTCCAGATGTGAAAAGCAGTTGAAGGATTTTGTTCAACACCTTCATAAATAAACAAGAGGGCCAAAATGACTTATGGGCCATTCAGTGCTGTGTTTTTGTTTTCCTCCAAGACGGGGAGTCACTGTACTTGGGTTTCAGCAGCCTCTAGCACAAATTGTATTCAATGATGTTTCACTGAATGAGGAGCTAAAATAGGAAATGATAAATCAACCATGTGGGGACAAACAGCAGGAACATAAACAGGTATAACCGTGCTTTGATTGTGGTAGTCATGACCACTCTATTCACGTTTAAGTAAAACAACGTAGGACAACCTGGGAAGCCAACAATAATAATGTGTCTGCAATACAGACTTAAGACCAGTGTAGTGATGGAGATACATTTGTGTTTGTAGTGTTCGTGAATTAACAGGACAAGAGAATGTCAAAACACGAGCAAGCCAGGAGTGGACTCTAGAATCCTCTGACCTGCAATCAGACATGTTGACTATTGCACCACTGGCTCTTTATGCCAGGAAGACAAAAGCAAACACACCTCGCCTCTTTTACTGCTGAGGATAAACAATTCCTGCTCAATCTTGCACAATTTCCTTTTTGACAAAATTACCAGGTTCAGAAACTGCAAAGCCACAACGTGTTGTGAGCGACAGTGAACACAGCTTATTGGCTATAAAGACAAATGACTCTTGTTTGTATAACAAGATGTCAGGAAGTGCTGTGTGTGTACTGAACTGGATGCATGACAGACAACAATGATCTGCTGTCAAGTTTATAATAGCAGATGTGCTTCATTCGACGTAGCAGTGGGCAGGAACGGGCATATGCAAAAACAAAACAAATACCATGATTTGTTTTGCATATTGTTACCTAATCTTGTATTTTTTGTAGTATTCTCCATTGATCTTGTTCCTTGAAAGCACTTATTTACTCTGCTGTGGAAACTGACTACTCTGTTAGTTCTTGAAAATCATTAACTCATTCAACCATTGTGTGTTGCGACATATAAAATTTCGGACGTTTCTGGTTCCTAAAACTTAACAACAACACAATCTGTAACCCACAATAATGCAGAATAACGTCTATAGTGTCTATGCACTATGTTTTCGTATATGAACCAAAGCTGTAGTTTTAATATGTAAGCCTTTAGGTGAATAAAGATTATCAGTATGACAGCTCTGCCTTCAGTAAGACAGAATAGTCAGAAGGATCATTTAATTTTTATAAAAAGCATTTGCAAATGCTCAATTTCAATGTAATATATGATAATCCATGGGGTCATCATCTTAACTCAGGAACAAGTGAGTAAGAAAAGGAATCACGAGCCAGCCAGGAGTCGAACCTAGAATCTTCTGATCCGTAGTCAGACGCGTTATCCATTGCGCCACTGGCCCGCAGTGACAGCGTACTGCTGCTGACACGAATACATTGGTTGCAGCCCAGCTCAGCCCCTCCCCCACAACTCGGCGCTCTGCTGAAAGCATGCTCTCCGAGGGAAGCTGCAGCACAAAGCAGGAAGTAAAACAAACCATGGAGCTGGCTTTTGTCTGCACTGCCTTCACCATTAAGACATTAAAATGCCTTTAAAATCAGCTCGATAGGGTTTGTGGTTTAAAAAACATCAAAACATGTGACAATAATGCCTCACTGACAAGAAATACAACCATTTTGCTCAAATAATGTACTAGACACAAATTGTCTGTTGGCAAAATGAAAAGTAAAGACTGGTTTCAATTATTCTGATGTTAGTTCAAGATCTTCATGAACAAAAAAAGAACACAAAACTGACTTAGAGATCACTGTTCTCTGACTCCAACAACCTCTGACACAAACTGGATTCAGTGATGTTTGAGCTAATGATTGAAGGTAACAAAACCAAGGATGATAAACCCATAAACACATCATCTTCTGACCAACAGTCAGACACGTTATGCATTGCACCACTGGCCCTCAGAGTCAGACGTCCTTCAGACAATCAGCTGCCCAAACAAACCTGCATACCTGATTATTTCCTCTTGACTTCTGTTTGACCTACACTTCTCATCTCTACCTCATTATCAAACCACAGGAAGAACAACATCACATGTTTAACAACCTCTTTGAGTTGATGAATCAACTTCACTTGTAATAAATGAGGAGACAATTCATACCAGCCAGTGCCAACTCTCACAAGCATGTGATGTCTCTTTCTTTCTTTTTCTCTATTTTTAAACTCTTTTTTACAAGAATTTTCATTGTATTATTTTTCCCTCACAACTACAGTGCCACAAAATAAAACACGAGCCCGAGCAAATCTCACCAAATGTTCTTCTTTTGGCTACGAGGACGAATAGTTAAGAATATATGTTAACCGACAGTCACTTCAAAGCCAACCCCAAGCTGCAGCTCTGCATTGATAAACATCTGATTTTATAACGTCAATGTTGTCTGTCAAACTCACCATACATGAGTTAAAAACAATTGCTGTGCTGGGAATTCTGTGGTATTTCCATGTCAAATGACCACTTAAAGTTAGAAGTGATACGAGTCTGGGTCACACACAGTCATGTCAGCTGCTGCTGTGTCAATCGAGGTGGCAGTGAGAGTCCTACTGGAAACCTTCCCTGAATTACTGTAAAATGTGGCCTATTCAGGTTGGATGCGTGCTTTAACTATGTACAGGTACCACTCCCTGGTGGTCTAGTGGCTAGGATTCGGCGCTCTCACCGCCGCGGCCCGGGTTCGATTCCCGGTCAGGGAACTCCTTATTATGAATGTTCAACACACTGGAACATATGGAAGAGTTGATACAAAAAAAAAAGCAAGACTAGTCAGAGCAATCAGGGACTAGTCTATTAAGTGTCTTGCACAAATACATGACAGGAGCTACAGTACCACAATGTACTGTGAGTGATAGAAGTGGACTATCGCTGAGTGGCAAGAAACAAGTCATGTGTACAACATCAAAATCCACAAAGACAGTGGTAAATGAGGACAGCTCCTCAAAGCAACTATGACACCTTAAAATCTGTGGGAAAAAAAGGACCATTGTATCTTGTGCAGGAAGGAATGTGTATATACTGCAAATAAAATGTGTATAAAGTACTCATTACCATATAAAGCAGAGGGTAAGTTGGACAAATAATGGTTTACTAGGGATCAGTGTAATCATGGCCAGCAGTGGCAACTATATCCCTCGACTGAGGGCTCTCCAGTTTAAAATATAATGGCAAAGTCAAAATTGTTTGACCTTGAAATATCACCCAAGATCAAGTGTTACATCCCCAGTGGAAAGTGGAAAGAGTTACCAAACTCTGTTCAATCTGCTGATTCCCTCTCAGTATTCAAGAAAAAGACTAAAGACCCAGCTCTTCACTGAACACCTCTGCACTTGACGGACTATAAAGAAGAGGAAAAAAAGAAAATAATAATAATAATAATTTTCCTATTACCTCCCACATAGCCTGCTCTTGGCATCAACGCCCTATCACACTTGGAGAGGTTGTACGGCACTTATCCAGGTTGTTTCCTCCTGGCTAAATCTTTGCTTGTGTTGTATCTGCTCTCAGATGCATGTCGCTTTGGAGAAAAGAATCTGCAAAATGACATTATGGAATTGCAGAAAGCCTATATATAATGTAATTATAAGTGCAGACCAAACATGGTGTCCGATACAAACAATGTGTCTATCTTGCACTGTTTTCAAGATACAGCTCAGTCAAAATTTATGACCGTGAATTTTAGTCTTAAGCCCCTTTCAGACAGGTACTCCTTTCTGTTCATCTGACTGCATCCTGACACTTCTGCATCTCTTTCAACACCACGGAAGTCAGATTGCATGTCGATGCAATAACAGACTGGCGTGCACATGCAACATTCAACAACATCCCAGAGAGTGCAAAAGGCAGCTTGCAAGCCAAAGTCACACACCACCTTTTTTCATTCATTTTGCCTCTAATTTCACCTCTATTAGGTTAGAAGCAGGAATGTCCATAAAAATAAAACTTCACCGCCATGAAGATAGAAGGGGTCAGAAAAACAAGACTCACCAAAAATAAATGTACTACAGGCTTTGACAAAATGTTAAGTATAGCTTGTTGCTTCCATCTGTTTGTAGGAGTCTTTCTTCTGTGTTTACTAAATACATTAAGTAGGGATTGACCGATATGTTTTTTTTTTAAGAGCATAAATAAATACCAAGTACTGTTAACCAAGAAAAGCCAATACTGAAACAAAACATCTTGTCATGACAGACTTTTCAATGCTTTAAATAATTATTTAGTTGTTGAGTCAACGCAAAATAGGAAGAACTGTTGACCATTTAGTGTTACCATCAGTAGTCTTTTTCTAAGGTGAGAAATTCCAAACAAAATGCCTACCAGGCCCTACCAGCAGTCCCTGGTGGTCTAGTGGCTAGGATTCGGCGCTCTCACCGCCGCGGCCCGGGTTCGATTCCCGGTCAGGGAACTACTTTGTTATGAATGTTCAACACACTAGATGGCAAAAAAATGGAGGCATTTACACAAGAACAATGCACCTATTAAAAGTAGCAACAAGTCTATTGTGTCTTAGACAAATACACTTAGAAAATAGCTACAGGATTCACAGTGAGCAGTAACAGTTGAGTGATGGAAGCAAGTTTTTCTGTACAACAGAGTTTTCTCTCCGAGTGTAACTGTATGTAAATATGACAACAAATTAAACGAGCCATGTGTACAGCACTCCTTTCTGTTAACCTGACAGCAGTTCTGTATCACCTCCCAATGTGGCAAAAGCTTGAACTGCATAATTAATTAGACTCACCAATAACAAATGTAATATGAGCATCAACAAAAGGTTAACAGGAACTGAAATTCAATTTGTTGCTGCCAGCTGTTTGTAGGAGTCTTTCCTGAGATACGTAATCAGGAACATTACTGGTGTTTCTGAGCACCACGACCACCAGCATCTGCTATCTCAAGCAGTCGTCTTTTTAAGGCCAGAGAGTCGTGACAACATTCCTTGACAGCACTACCAGCAATCCCTGGTGGTCTAGTGGCTAGGATTCGGCGCTCTCACCGCCGCGGCCCGGGTTCGATTCCCGGTCAGGGAATTAGTACTGTTTAATTTACGCCTACCATTAAAGTGCCATCTTTATCTGGATACAGCTATCGGTCCTAGTACCATCAGAGAGCAGAGGCAAGGTTTGAAGATCTTTTAACTTCCGTGACTGACAGCTTGTGGTGAAGCTGTACATAGTGCATTCCCAAAGGGCTGAGATCCAATCACAGTGCAAATGTGAATGCCTCTAAATGTAGTCTTGTGGTATTACCATTATTCTAGACTGGGGTTAGGACTTCATGTGCTTTCAGTGAATGCTGTGTGGAGCAGAGCTTTGTGCTTAGCTCATCTGCTTTACAAGCTTATAAAGTAACAGGGAACCATTATCAAGGGAAGCATAGCAGCTCTGGGTCAAGTTCCTCATTAATGTGCTGGTGTGCTGAATCCAATTACTTTTATCCAAAACAGAGTGCCAATCTGTACTGAAGACCAGCAGCAGCTTACAGTTGAGTGACTATGTCAGATTGAGAAAACCCCAATTTTTCAGATGCACAGAAGAGGACTCTTGGGTGTAAAAAGAAAAAGAGAAACTTGTGTGTGGTTTCTGTACGACAAAACAACGGTTACTTTCAACTGTCAATGTTACCACCCCAGTGAGACTTACCTCTGATTCTGAGTCATCGTGGGAAAGAGCTCGTCTGTAGCGGACCTTGCTGTTTCCTCGTGAGTCCTCTTCTCTCTCTTCTAGCTTTGCTTTTGTTCTATGCTTCTTCATGAGGAAATTATCTACCACCCAGAACATGAGGGCCTGAATGAAACATACAAAATACCGGTGAATGATGCTTCCCCGGGGGCGAAGGATCATCTTTACTGAGGCCATTTGTTATATTATTTATGAAAACTGGAAACATTCATATGCACGCACAAGTCCATGGTTATGGTATGAACTAACAGAGATGATTTATGCATCCAATGACAGGATCTCATTAGACCTGTGTAATATTGATTTTGCAGGAAATGTGAAGTCACAGTGCAAAGAAAAACACATAGTAACAACAGACTTACATTGATGAAGAACGGAACGATGAGCATGACGATGGCCAGCTCCAGGTCAGGGTTCTGTATGGGGTTGAGGAGAGCCAGCTGCGACACAGACAAACACACACAATAAACATACAAGTACAGACATAATGTTGCATCCACTGACAACATTAAAAAAAAAATGATGATAAAGCATGTAGACCTAACTAAACTCAACACAGTGATAATGCTAAAACCTCAAAGGTGCAGATGTTTTACAGCCCTGCGATGGATTAGCAACTTGTTGGAGGTGACAGCGACTCTCACGTAATGTTAACATCTCTGTTAACTGAGCCCACAACCTCAGTGGATAATAATCTTAATAATGTCATTTCACCAAACAAAATCTGCAAACATAGCAGGATATTTATGCACAGTATATGTGGATTTGGAACCTTTTGTTGTACTTTGTTCATATAAAAACATGTCTTCATTAGCATTTTAAGTGCTGTACATGACATCTTTGTCAAGTTGAAAGCAACTTCTGTGATAATACATTTATGATTTGTGTACTTTTTCTACTAATGTTTCTGTAAACCATGACCACTAACATGAGGCCCTTCAACACCAGTCCCCTTGCAAAGGCCAGGAATTCCAAAGATGTGCCTCAGCCCCACTAAAGTCCCTGGTGGTCTAGTGACTAGGATTCGGTGTTCTCACTGCCGTGGCCTGGGTTTGATTTCCGGTTAGGGAATGTACTTTCATGTCTGTTTTACAGTATGGCAAACAGTGTAGTGGCTCTAACTACTGAGGATACAGTTTTCCTTGCAAACAGGATTCACATTAATGTGAAAACCAAGAGTCTGTCTCATGAAGTGTGAATTTGCTGGATCATTTAGTCTGTAGTCCTGGACCACTGTTTGCAAAAAGATGGCCTGATTTTTGTTTGTTTCTTTTTAAGAGCTGAAGGTCAAAAGTAGATTCTTCTAATGTGTGAGACAAAAAAAAAAACTTGCCATTTTTCCAGAATTGAACATGGACAAAACATCATGTAAACAGCACGTTTGAAAGGTTTTCTCCCTCACTTCTCCCACTGCCAACGTAAAAAAGTATGTTAAGGATAGCTCTGGAGAGTGCTGCTGCCCTTTTAAATAGTAGCATTCATCTCGACTGGAGTAAGACAATGATGACATTAATGGGCACTATTTTCTCATGCTACCTTTTCAAAGCTCTACTGTTTTTTTTTCTTACCTTCTTCCACTGGGGGATGAGCAGGACCAACATTATAAGGACTTTCTCAAACATCATGATGAGGATGTAGAGGATACATTGGCCCAACCATGCTGTGCACTGCACTGGCTCCCCTACACACACACACACACACACACACACATGGATGACCGACACATACCAAGCTACTATCAAAAGATATGCTTTTTGGTGGTAAACAAGAACTAAAGAAAGCACTGGCAGTGTCAGAAATGACCATAGACCATTGTAGCACTGAGGGCAAATACTGCCCTCCGATGGGCATCACAGGCATTTTAGGAATTTGCTGGAGCCCCTACTTTGACGCTCACACACACAGTCCTCACCGTATTCTCCAAAGCGCAGAGAATCCCACTGCCTCCACTCTACAATAGCGCTGACGGCTCTTACCCCTGCATAGATCAGCAACATGCCCAGAGAAGCATCTAACAAGAAATTAATGAGGTATCTGGGAAAAAAAAGAAAAGTGAATCTAATTGGGGTCTGCGATTAAGAGTTTTCCTACTGGACAGTCTAGTGGCTTGGATTCAACACAAAGCTACATAATCTTGATTTTAACAACATGTAAAACCAGGAGAACAGCTAAATACTCACAGTGAGCAGGGATCTTCCTCTGTGAGGTCTGACAAGTAGACATTAGCAAAGTGAATGAACAGCATCCCAATTGCCTGTTTTGAGGTGTCCAAGAACCTGCAGAGACACAGTTAAGTTGCTTCCAGTAGGACTCATGTGAAGCCTTTGCACAGAAATGACGTTTAGCGGGCTCGGCTGCCTTACCAGATCCTCCAGGGTCTCCTCTCATGTTTAGGCTCCCTGAAGCGTTTTACTGTGGAGGAAAGAAAACACCACAGAGATGGGATTTTACCGCAGATCACTCGTACAAACACAAAGGTGCACGGAAAATATCTCAAACTGAATCTCTCTTGTTTTCATTAAGCCAATTTATAATCCTCCCGTGAGCTTTCAAAGATCCAATAAGCATTTAATTGTTTCTACAGGAGATTTTCTTGTTTAGTCCAACTAAAAATCTTGCCGTATGCAGACACATTTATGATTTCAAAATTAGAATTGACATCTCCTTTGTGAACGGTGACTATCACTCTAGCAGGTTCACAAGGTAGACTTCAGTCCATTTCTAATCAAAATAATAAAACATCACTAGATTTGGGAGTGAGAAAGAGAAAGAGTGTATGATACAGGGCAAACAAATCTATGTGGGTATGGTTTGTTGTTGTGGAACAAGAACTACAAAAGATATTGTCGGTCACAGGAAAAACTAAAACCTGACCTAATATCCCATGGAACAGCTTTTCAAAAAAAAATGTATCTGATGCTGTTACTTTCAGCTCAAGTTACCAGAAAAAAAAAGAAAATGATTCTACCTGCCAAACTGTCGAAGTGGATCCGACTCTAATACTCCAGGATCTGGTAATTTAAAACATACAGCTAGTCTGACTAAGTTAGTAATAAAGTGATAAAGATGACGCTCTTAGTCTAGAATTAAACTAATCTGGTGGTTTACAGTCTAATAGTAGTTGCCAAGCTGTGCTCCCTGGGTAACTAACACGACAATGGCTTCATAGAGGTCCTTGCTATAAATAATAACTGTATGTAAAACAGTCTGAGGGGTTTAATGGAAGAGGACTCAACGCACAAATGAAGCGCTTGCTGTTCTTCACAATGGCGACTTGTTTTCTGTGACACCCTCACCACTCGCTTATTTTAACTCTGATAACACAGATCTTCGTAGAATGTTGTCAAAACCTATTATACATGAGCTTTACATCAAACAATCTTGCCTTAAATGTTGTAGTGCTGCCCAGACATACACTGAAGGCTTTATGTGTCTTCATGTGGGCAAGTTGTGCTGCTATGACCTCAGTTTCTGCGCCGAACACAAGTGTGACTTCAGACTAAACACACCCTGTGTGCAGCTGGGTGTGATGTGATCGCAGGCGGAGGCCTCGGCCTACTCCTTCTGCCTCGAGCAAAAGAAAAGCTCTAAAATGCTCAACATTCCTCGCTGCTGTGAGACTGCTGGGACACACAAAACTTCTCCCATTAGGTCACACAGCTGTGGCAGACACTGGCTAAATCAAACCCTGACTGAATCCTGCAGGTAACTCTTTTTCTCTGTACCAAAGTTTTCCTATCAGTCTAAATGTAAATACGACTGCCCACCTCTTATGTAAAGCTACCTTAGTCAGAGGTAGAAAACACTTAAGCTTAGTTAACAACGATTAACAAGTACTTTGCCCAGTGTTTTTAAAATGCACAAATATTAGTGCCCTCAAAACATTCTCAGTAAAGGGAAACGATCATGACAGTTTTCCGTCTTCAAATGGGCTGGTAGACGCTGATCACAATTTAAGTGAACTTTGAATGTACATATTCAAGGCAAACCCTCCTTTCCCAAACCACTGCTCCCGTAACTCACGTAGCAGTTTCTTATGAGAAATTTTATTGACTGAGCAGACAGGAGGAGAACATAACAGTGTTTGGTGTAGCAAGAAAGGTCAAAGATGGCAGGAAATCAAATAAAGGAAAGGAAATATCTTTTATCACAACCACAGCCGATGACCTCAGCAAGCGGAGTCAGCTGGTGTAGTGCTGCACTGAACTGAAACTTCTGCATTTCGTTTTTCGTTTTGTGTTATGAGTCGTCTAACTCTGCACACACTTCAATACAGTTTAAGTTTGTTCAGCTTAGATCTGCTAAGTTTCACTGCTGCTTATAAAAATGAGGTAGCTAAACGTAGGTTGATGAATTACTTCAACATCATCTTATGAGCTCTGGAATGTAAAATTCGCTGAGTTAACCAGTTCAACGACAAGTTTCGTCAGCTTAAGGTAATAAACAGAATCAACTATGTAGTTTCTCAGACAGTTAGCAACTGACTTTCTGCTTACAGTTTCTCAATTTAAGTAGTCAGTTTTATACTTAACATGAAGAACGATCAGCTGCGAGTGTTGAAAGCACTTTATACCTAAAACATGTGGGGCGACCTTCCGTTATTTTGAATTAGGAAAAACAATCAGGATTTAGCACATCTAAATGACACACAGCAAGTTTTCATTGTGAATGGGTTCTTCAAGCTACAAAAGAAGAGACCAAGCAAACAACAGCATGCCAATTTGCTGCATGTCTGTAGGGAACTTTCCCCGACCAGTATCTTGGAAAGTTTACTCGACATCAACAGAACATTTGTTTTCTGGAAAAAATATGGACTTGGAAAAGGTTCGCAGAATTTTCCCAAAAGGGAAAGATGAAAGATTCAAAGATAAAAACTAGACTTTTTAGGTTGAATTGACTTCAAATTAACACAATTTATGTATTTTCATTAGATTACGATACGTTCTTTTGGGGAAAAAACTATGGTTCAGAGAATGTTCTGCAGATGTTCCCTGAACTTACAGTCACAGGACTATGACCTGAGGGAACCAAAAAAAAGTGTCAGGGAATGTTCAGTGAATGCATTGTCAAGTGTGCTAGCATTCTTATTTTGTTTCTTTGAAAATAAAAAACAAAAAAGTAAAAAAAAAAAAACCTCTCAGCTGTGGATTAATTCAACTCATTTTTTAAACTCAAGAGATCTCACATCACTCAACTAATGCTTTTAAGTTAGAAAAATTATATGAACAAAAAAATGAAACATTTTGGGTTTGATTCTTCTCAAATTAACACATTTCTGTATTTTCATTAAGTTATGGAATGCTGCCTTCAAGAAGAAAACATGGTTCAGGGAATGTTCTGCTGATGTTCCCCGAACTCATAGTCACAGGGTTATGACCTGACTGCTTTATGTTTTGGGAACATTCTCTAAGGGAACCAAAAAAAAAAAAAAAGTAAACTTTAGGGAACGTTCCCTGAATACTTGTCAAGTCTGCTCGCATTCTAGTTTTCAAAAAGTTTTCATTAAAAACTTTAAATTTAAAAACCTCTCAGCTGTGGATTAATTCAACACATGTCAAAAGATCTCACATCACTCAGCTAATGTTTTAAGGTTGCAAAATTGTATGAACATAAAAACTAGACATTTTGGGTTGAATTGACGTTTGGGAACTTTCTTTAAGGGAACCAACAATTTAAAAAAGGAGAGAACAAAAGGAAACTTCAGGAAGATTCTTTGAATGCAAGCTAGTAAGACTGCTTCCTTTTACCTAAAGATAAAAACTAGATATGATAGACTGAAATTGACTTCAGATTAACTCAGCTGACATTAGGTTATGAACAAGAAAAGATGAGTTAACTCCACTTAAGTCCTGTCTGATGTTCTTCAGAGCGGGCTGCCATCCTCCCAGCTGAGATCAATATCACATCTGATTAATCGGGTGGTGCTATTGGATAATGCCCGCTTACATCAGCAGCCGGTGTCAGATATCGGACACACAGCAGAGCTCTGTTCGTACTCACACATGAGCGTGCTGAAAGCCATCACGGCGAGGAGACCTTGCAAGAAAATCCCGAACGAGTCCATCAGGGCGCCGTTCTCGCAGCCCCGGGTGTCGGTACCTGGCGTCGGGCTGGAGGACACCGACGTGTTGGTGAGAGACACCGCGGACAGCGCTGCCGCTCCTCCCGGACCTGCCCTCGCCGCCTCTCCGAGCGGGGACAGCATGTTGACACCGCTCACAGCAGCCATGGGGACGACACTAATCGATAACGATTCTCACACTCGCAGTTCTCTCCAGTAGTTGTTGGTCAGCTAATCGATCCGTTAAGCAGGACAGTCTTCGGTGAAAGATGGTGGCATCTTCGCCCTCGAAAGCTCATTCTCCTGCTTCAGAGATCCACACAGCCATAGCTGCTTTGTCATGGGAGAAGTAAAGGTGAAGATGCTAGAAGTTGCAGGGACTTACTGTGTAGCTTCGACTGACGCTTTTACACACTTTATAACCGAGCTGGAACATCTAGAAAAAAAAAAACCCCAAGAAGATCCGTGCGGCGGAGAAAATATTTCCTGCGACTCGTCTCAGCTAACATTAGAAACAAATACACCGGCTAAACCTGTGCCGCATATCTACTCAAACAGACGTTAACTGATCCTAAATGCGTTATACAGTGAAGATAAATCGGTCAGAAGTGGATTTTTTGTCCTGACTAACAGTCAAAAGAGATGCTATCACTACCTACCTACCTAGCTAGCCTCCAAGCGAACTACTCATCTCCAGTGAGCTAAAGCTAAGGCTAGCAAAGTTATATTTTGCCTGACACTGAAAGCGACACAGGCCCCCGTAGCTCTCCGCATCAATAAAATGAAAAATAGCTCGTTTGTGTTTAAAAAAATGAAACAAATATGAATAATTGCAGGTCATAGCTCGCGTACATCCAGCTGCTTCCCTGCCCAGCAGTGCCCACTCATGTTGACAGACGTCGGGTCATGTGACCACCGCGTAGCCACCAAACTGCATGCTGGGAAATGGGGTTCAAACAAGAGTCGTGCGAGATTTAGTCGTTCATGTATTTTTTTTTTTTTTATTTATTGCCGTGTTCTTTTTTTTTTTAAATAGCAGTGATACTCTCCAAACAAGAAATAAAAACTCAATGCTTTGAGGAAACTAAAGGCAAATTAGTAAACAAAGAAGTTATTTTTTTGTTTTTTTTGTCACAAAATGAAGCACAACACAGTAAACCACACTACATGAATTGGTAAACAGAGAGAAAAAAATAAACATTTACAAAAGCATTTTAAGAATATCTTCTCGCTTTAAAACAGCCAATTTATCATTACCTCTTAAAATGACTTAATATGAAATGGCTCAATCAACTGTAGCAGAATTAGTTTTAATCATCCTCCCCATATGTTCAAGTTGAGGCCTATTCTGTGCAAATATACTGTATAGTTTGGGCATTTACACACTGTTTATGCAGAAAGTTTATTATTCAATATACTTTTTTTTCTTTCAAATAACCCTGTTGCACTAGAAGATATTTGATTATTTACACTATGTACAAACATGCGCTGTTATAATTGCTTACCACCGTACAGTACATGTTTTTGCTTGTGCTTGCATTACAGAACCTGTTCACTGTAAATTCCTTTGACATACTGTAGAAGCTGGAACAAAAAAGCAATTTGGTCTCTTTAGATGAAAGCCCCTCTTACACCAAGCACGCTGTAATTTGATATGACGTATTTCAACTTAACATTTGCAAATGACATTCAGACGTGTCAGAGCTTACATCAGAATCGAATAGGAATCTGTATTTTCTTTTTTTTTTACATTACTTGCCGCATCAGTACTGATTGTAGGCAACTTCTTTTTTGGATTTTTGAGAGGAAGTTACCATTGTGTTGACTTAACTGATGGATGAAAACATCTCTTTGACAATATAGTCTCTTAAAACTAGAGACTAGGGGACAATAGGCTTACAGTGTGTTGTTGTGATTCAAGGGAACAGCTTGGAGTTAGAACAGTCAAGCACATTTTCTGAAAAAAAAAGTTCTTTCAAGTGCTTAAATCTAAGTGGCCTGCCATATACTATTTGTACTGCGCTGTCATCTCCACTACAAATATTGAACACCTTATTCAATGAAATTACACTTGAGCCAGCAGTCACCAGATTGGGAAGCAAATCCACCCCATTTGACTTCCAGAGACGATGGTAAATGTTGACTGGCAGATACCAAATATTCTAGGATTGAGTTTGTCATGTAAAAAGCTTTGATTCAGTGGTATTTCCTTCAAAGACAGCGAGGCAGGCTGGAAATTTTGAATGGACACAGAGCAGAGTTGTAGCAGTGGTGCTCAGTTACTGTTGTCGAAGGAAAAAAATAACAGTAGAAACTTTAAAGACACAAATAAGTTTAAAAGCTTTATTAGAACATGGCTATAAACTAACCTGTTTCAACTTGAAAGAAAGTCCTTGATGATGGTTGAATTGTACATCAAAATATGCTGTATTGAATTACAGCATCTATGCTTATCTATGATTTACACTTATTTGTGTCTTCAAAGTGCCTTGAACTACTTTGATTCAGTCTTCTCCTTTTGTCTTTCTGAAAGAGCACATCAAGTGTTTTTGATCCTCTTCTTCTTTGCTCTTTTTTTTCGAGGATCGGGACATGTTGCTTTGCCTGTTTTATGTCCACGCCTGTCCGATAGGATGTGGTATATGTAAGATTCTAAAGGATGTCCAGTGTTAGAAAAGTCAAAATGGGAAAATACATTGTTTTTCACAGGATTAATTCAAAGAACAGGATGCAGTCGCGTCCCATGTTCTTTCTCCGTCAGCTACGTGGCAAACTGCTGATAAAATGCCAGCTTGACCCTCTCAATGTGGTGGCACAGCTTGATGGCCGGTCCCAGCTTCAGGTCCATGCACTCCTGCACTGTCGGGAGGTTCAGCAGCAGCAGCGCCTGTCCGTCGATCTCCTACGAACACACACACAAGTTCATATGTGATGCAGTTTCTTTATATAGTCTGTTTCTGACTCAACTGTTTAGAGCTGGTAAAATGTTTTGATAACGGATACAAGTGAGTAGACTGAGATCTCCTTCTGTGTGGCCGTGTCCATTACATCTGTGAGCATTTCTTACCTGATCCAAGAAAATCCTTGCAAGAGGTGCACAGTCAGTGGTCCTGATGAAGCGAACCACATCAGTAACGCTCCACTCCAGGGGACTGGTGTCCAAACACAGCTTCTGAGGAGGCTCAGCCTTTGACGTCTACAAACACACAGATAAGATGAGTTAAACATAAACTCGGAGATCTCCCTGGGAAAGGGAAAATGCTCCCAACTCATTTCATCCCTTACAATTGATGTTGAGAAGGGTATCAGACCTAAATATTTCATAAAAGCAATACTGGCTGTTTGAGTCTCGTTGATTTCCTCATAAGCGGTTTAAAAAGTGTAAAGGTCACAGTGAAATAGTGAAGCAGTTGGAAATCATTTTGTTTCCTTGAAGCAGAATAATGGGACTGAGTGTAATGTAGTGGAAACTCCATTCAAAATGTTATTAACCCTCTGAACTACAAAACCCGGCAGCATGTTTGAAAGGCCTGATTGTTTGTTGTTGTTTTTTTAACAAATCACCCAAATTGCACCATTTATCAGCCAGAAACTGCAAAAAGTGAAAAAGAATCGCATGAATATTCAACTTTATTAAAAAAAAAAATCACTTTATCCTACATGTCTCATTTAAAAATCAACTGTTTGCAGTAACCACATTCTGTAAAAAAGAAAATAAAAATTTAACAATCTGTGGCGCAAATGAGAAGCAAAAAGTGGTGTAGCTGTGACAGTCCGGTGACCAAAATGCAGGGAGTTTTCAGCAGAACTGGGCTGAACTGTAGGCTGTATTTACACATTGCAAATATGCAAATAGGACACAACAGGGAATTGAATTACAAATCTAAGTGGTAAAATGTCTAAAGTGTGTAGACCTTTTTTTTTTTTTTTTTAGCATTGGCAACACCTATGAGCACCTAGGAAAATGTTGCAGATGTTTATTTCAGTCTTTTTCAATTTCTGTAAAATCAATAATCAAAGAAATTCAACTTTAGTTGTTTGTGATTAATGACTTGATCATTTTGTTTTAGTGAACAAAACCACATTTTTGAGTTCCACCTACCTCAAGCCATTGTTTTGCTGTTTCTGTAGATGCACACAACTTTATATTGCAGTACAAAAAAAAGGAGCCAACAGTGATAATGTGTCAGAAGCAAAAAAGGTCCAGAAAGTGTTTGGGGTGCAGAGGGTTAAAGTGCATGAGTTAGAAAGAGGAAGGAAATTATTATATGAAGAAAGGAGCAGAATATTTAAATACACAAAAAGGACATACACAGCCTGGAAACATTAATCAGAAATATGGCAAAAGTTGCTTTTGGTCAGTAATTTTCATTACCTTTGGTGATGGCGGGCGGTTCTCATCATCAGAGAACGAAGGTGAGCGCGGTTTCCGGCGTCTACGTGTCGGCCTGGGTGTTGCCGGCGGGGAGGGGGATGGAGTGGTGGGCTGAGATTTCCCAATCGACTGTTCGGAATCATCCTGGAGATCGTCTTGCAACTCAGAGCCAGAGTCTTCACTCAAGGAGTCATCTTCGTCTAAATCTTCTTCCTCTCCACTGCCCTGTGAGTCAAACATACAGACAACAGTCGGTTAACACAGAAGCATCAGTTACTAAAAGGCTTAATGCAGAAAATTCCCATGCATCTGCTACCTGTGGAGACCCAGCAGGTGTGTTGTCTACGGAGGCTGAAGACCGTCTCTTCTTATGGACAAAGAGCTGCTTCCTCCTCTTCCTCCTTCTCCCTCTTCTCTTCACTCCACCTTCCAGATTGGAATGGCCCCCTGGTGGGCGGCCAACACGTTTACTCTTCTTCTTTCCATAGTAATATGCTGGTAAAACACATCAAACCTGCTATGTAATCTTGCTAAAAGGAGATGTTAATTAATCTGATTTCTTGGATTCTTTAATATTATCTGTAGGAGAAGCTTTGATAAATAGGCTGCTGAGGTAGGTCTGAGTGACGGGGAAAGAAGACAAATGAAAAAACTGATCACTTGTCTGTTGCTGTCAAATTGCATCAGTTTCTTAACCCCAACACCACGGCGCAGCTGCAGTAAACATATCAACAAATCTGTGACTTTGTGCCGACAAAATAGTTCTGCACAAAATGAAAGAGGCCAATTATAGCACATTTTCTGCCAGCCATGCCTGCTTATTCAATGCCCCCCAAAGATTATTGCAATTAGCAAAACTCTGAAGCTGTATCACCCTGCTTCACAGAATATTTGTATTCAAGAGAGCGTTTATGTTCCCAGTGATCATTTCTATTCATGAGCAACACAAACTGAAAAATTTGAATAAGCTTTGTGCTTAATAAGAGCAATTTAGAAATATGTTTAGAACAACTGATCAGGTATACAAATTCCTAAGCAATTAATAATTTAGTTAATTTTTATTATGTTTATTGCTTCTTTTAGCAAGATTGCAGGCAACCTTGACTATTTGCCAAAAAAAAAAAAAAAAAGGAAAAAAAAAAGTAAATCTTAATGACCTGTTTTTAGTAAAATAAAGATACCTACTATATTTGGTCTTGGTGAGGACAGAGCAGTTCTCCGAGCAGCGCTCCAGAACCATGCGAGGTCCAAACAAATTGGGGCAGCACTCTAACTTAATGCACGTTTTCCTGCAGAAGTCTGCCACACGGTCTGCAGTTCGAACAATTTCCACAGTGGCTCGGTAACTCTTTCCCTTGTACCTGATGTTTGAAGAAAAACAATGTTGAACATGGAACAAATGTTGATACATTTTTCATATTTGGAAAAAAAAAAAGTCCTTTCAGAGCAAAAAGAAAACAAAGCAAATCTGACTCTTTCCACTTACTTAAGCTTCCATTATTTCACATGTGATGTAACGAGGCTACGACCAGCAAGGTCCCTCTCAAAAGTAACCTACATGCTGTCAGCTAAATCGTAGCTGCAGTCAAGCATCAGGATCTTCTGCTGGGTTGCGCTGTGCAGATATCTATTTCTATTTGTGCTTCAAGTATGTTTTTAATGCAGCATGTGCCCTCAAATAGGCCAGCTGTGAACACTTGTACTATTCCTGCAGGTTTTCTAAAGAGCTGAGGATTAAATGGTGTTTCTCCTCACTTGGCTTTGAGTGTCTCTCCGTGGCCTTGCCAGCGGCTCTCCTGGTCCAGCTGCAGCTCCCTCAGCACACGGCTGGGCTTGTATGCCGAGTTTATCAGCAGAGTTAATACCTGGATACAAGATGCGAATAGAAATGCAACAACTTGAGGTTATCGGCAGGTTGGAGGAGTGGGACTTTTATTCTTTAATAGTGTTATGTATTGCGCCATAACATCAAAGTTTAATAATCACATTTATTTTAAATGTGCTATAACAACTGAGCAAAGTATAGAAGCAGTCTTTACTGTAGTCTCTTATCTACAAATTGTGCAGGTAGATGATTTCATTAGTTTCAGCAATTAGTTGAACAATTATAAGACAAGGATTCACAGCCATACGAGCAGTTTGGGCACTTTGGCCCAGCAGTGCTCACCATGACAAGCATGCTGATGCTTTACATTTACAGTGTTCAGCATATTAACATGAGCATGCTGAACATTTGCCAATTAGTACTTAACATAAATGTCATGAACCATCTCGGAGAATTCATTTTTGCAGGCATTTGGACACAAAACAAAGCTTACGTTCCAACACAATCTCCAGACTTTGCAGATTTATTTCAGACTATTTCTGACACCACAAATAGCTACATGCACATAAAGGTTTTTAATAGACATACAGTTAACACGTATGCTGCATTATGTTTAATAAGGTTAGCAAATCATTTCCAGCAGACTGTAGCTCTAGGCACTGTGGCTCATACAGCTCACAATCCAGATAAGTTCATGCATAGCAAAGAGTGATGGAAGAGCAACAACATCTCTTCTAAAACAGTACAGGTGCGACCTATGCTTGTGTTATTGTCCCTTAACATAGTGTAAGAATATTTTTGTACTATTGTCCTCTTCAAAATGTTCTTCTCTCATTTATATATAGGAACTGAAAATTAGTTGAAAAAGTGAATTTAACATTCATGGCGTCACTGCAGTCATTATTCACCGTGTCCATGGAAACAACGATAAATGAAGCTATGGAGTCCTTACACAGAAAAGACAGTCCATTTACATTTCTGATAACCACATCATTGTATATATACAGTATATATATTCAAACCCTGAAGGAGGAAAATGCACGATAATTGCAAACCTGCCAGAGGAACTCCTGCGAATGGAAATAGGCTGAATCTTGTCATAGTGTACCAGATTTTCTTTCAAAGTAATTTTGTAAATAGATGTCTTTTATTTGGTGTAGTTATGAGGCCCTCGAGGCAGAGCTGTTTGCAGGCTGTGACGTACAGGTGTAGAGGCAACATTTGGGGTACAATGGCTGCTTGTATGACTGATCATTTGTAAATACATTTTTACAGTTTAGAAAATAGAATAAGAGCAAATGTCAGCAAACACAAATATTTTCCCACCCTCTTTTCCACACCTTAAACTTAAATAATACTCCATACTTCTACATACTACATAGAAATCCTCATTCTTGTGTAGAATTGTTGGAGAAATTTACATTTTGAATTGATGCTAAACAAAGAGCGAAATGTTTACAATTCAGTCTCTGTGAACCATGAATGGCATTTCCATCCAGCAGTGGACATATTTCAGTTTGGTCCAAAGTGGTGAACTGACAGACTAGAATCACAATTCACAGAGTCAGAGTCTTGGCTAAAATATCTGGCTCAGCCCATCAACATCAGCCTTCATGTTTCTGTTTAAGGATTGTGTTTATCAAACAGTTAACAGCAGTAACAGCCTCCTCACCTCTTTGAGCACAAGGACACAGTTCCCAGGGCCGATGAACTGAGGCAGCTCAGCGATGCGTCCCTTGTTAAGATAAGGCCCTGAGAAACAACGATGGTTGAAGTAGATTTTGGGACAGCAGTACTTCCCGTTGCCCTGCCCTGCACACAAAACGAGACACAAATGATACCCAAAGACGACACAGTCAATCAGAAGACAGAACGAACCACAGTTTAGGATCCTACAACCTGAGACATACGCACCCGTCTCGGACTGGTTTGCCACCTGCTGCTTGACGGTGTCAGGTGACGAAGACTTGGGTGGAGTTCGACTGTAAAGTGATGAAAATTGAGTTTGATGTTAAATTGCTGTTGGACTTGATCCATTTAAAGCAATGAAGCCATCAACACCCCGCCTCTCCATTAATACTCACTGTTTCTCTGGCTGCACCACAGCAATCTTCCTCTCTTTCTCAACTGAAAAACAAGGAGAGACTAATGTGTGCTCAGTCACACCATTACATTGCACCACTTATTCTGAGATAAGGGTGAAGTAAGGACTGCATTATGTTAGTCAGTGCCTAAGTAACAGTCTTGTTAAGGCAGCCATGCACAAGCCATGCGAGTCCACAGCGATGACTCATGTTGTATACCTGAGGGCTTGATGGGGTAGACGAGTGGATAGCCGTTTGTTTCACACCAGCTGACGGGGAAGATGTCGAGGGAGTCCACATGAACTATTAACTCTGGCATGGGCTGCTTCAGCCCTAGAAACACATTCACAGCTATTAGAAAATCACTGCCAGCACATAGTGAGCAGTGGTAAAGACATTCCAAACTTTATTGTTACACTGGCATGGGAGTGGCATCATTATCCCTTACTTGTAATAATATGTGGTATTTTTTTAAGGATGTGTTTTTTACTATAACAGCTTTATAACCAAGTTAATTATTAACTGAAAAGATATTTGTCAGTTCACATCTCTCAATCTTTCGACAGTCTTCTGTGTGTGTGAATCAACAATTTTAGATGATACACTGTTGTGCATATATTACTTAATGTGTTTTTTTAAAAACTGTAACTTCAGCTATTTAGACAAAATAGCCATTAACATGTTATAGAGATTTACTTTTTTGTACATGAGATGACTTGTTGTTGTAAATATGCGCTATACAAATAAAATTGAATTGAATTGAATTGAATTGGTGCTTTAAATACACACTGTAAAATGTGACGACTGAAGTGTGTGACAGCAATAATTCTGCTTATGAACTAGTGATAAATGCTCTCTGTATATTTATGATTAAGTGTTTTCTTCTCAAAAGACTGAAAGAAAGAAAGGCAGCTGATCAACTAGGTTCATTTTCCACATGCCTGCAAAGAAATGTTCCAGTTAATTTTTGTCTACTTTCTTCTACTAAAGTAAACACATCCTTTCAGTTTTCATTTCACCTTCCAGGCTGAGCCAAACGTATTGCCCTTTGACCCTGGTGACTGTAGCCACGTGAATGTGCTCAGGTGACAGCAGGTTGACAGCCTCGAGTTTCATGGCCTCTTTGAAGCTGTGGTCACATTGCTCCTGCAAGTAAACACAGAGAGCTGTTTCACACTGGAGGATGTTTTTGTGAAATTTGTCCATTACAACATAAAAGGGAGAAAAGTCACAGTGGGTCACCTGCTTACATCCCCGTCATTCTGTAGAGACATGTTTTCATCACCACTATTTTCGATTATGCTGTCAGTCACGTTGGTAAAATCTCATTTCCCACATTTTGTCAGTTATGACAGGTATGTTACTGTGAAAATGTTTCCAACTGCACTGGACAGAAAAATATAAGCAACGTTGGGCAAGATGCTTGGAAAGTGTAGTGAGCTAAGCCACCAGTTATACAACATCAAGTAAAGTTACACTACGCTGAAGGTACCACCAAAGAAATGTAACAAGTTAAGATACAACAGGTACATCAGAATCTATTTTTGTAATCTTAGGTTTGATTTTATTCATTTGCTACCTATAGATAGTAAAAATACATAACTGGGTAGTAGTTAGCCGTT